AGGAGTGTTTTAAAGTTTTAAGTGAACAAAAAGAATATTTTTTAAATTTGGTAAACATCATCTGTGAGCTCTTAGGGAAAAGAAATGAATAGAAAGGAGATTTAGAGAAAAGAAAAAAGGGGAGTAGGGCAAAAAGAAAAGGGGAAAAATTCCCCGCTTTTCTCTGTTTACCCCTCATTTTCTGTGTGTCTGTGATCCAAAAAAAATGCCTCATTCAAATACAAAAAAAAACAAAACATTAAAAGAATGCAAAAGCTTAATGCCTTAAGTTTTCAATTATTAGGGTGGTGCAAAAGCACCTGCCGATTTGACGGTAAATTTTAAAAAAATGGCGTTCGATGGTGGCATGATCACAATGGAATATTTTCGCAAGATCTCGAGCAGATTGGCATGGATCGGCCTGAATAACATCCCTCAGCTTGGCTTCGTTCACGACTTCTGGCCTCGAACCGTGCTCGTAATCTTCTAAAGTCTCGTCTCTCTCTCGGAATCGTTGAAACCAAGTCTGACACTGCCTGAGAGACAAACTGCCATCTCCGAAAGCAGCACAGAGAGAACGATGCGGTTCGGCAGCAGACAGCAGGCAGCAGACTTTCCAATTTTGAAGTTAAACAGTAATGCTGCTCGTAGCACAAACTTTTGCTCGACCATGATTTAAATAAAAAATATCAGCATTTTTAAATAAAATAAACAACAACCAAAAAATTCAAATGTCGAAACAAATAGCAAACAAATATGCGAACAAAACATAAAAAAAATAATGCCGTTAGCATCGCTCGTTTCTGATAAATGAGAGCTGATACCCATCGGCAGTTTCTTTTGCACCACCCTAATATTTGAAAAGTTTGCATAATTATTAAACATAATAACAATAATTTTAGATTAATACTCTTGCCAAACTGGGTCAAGTTGATGGAGTGGGCAATTTTTAAACTTCAAAAACTTTTTAAACTCTAAGCTTATTAAAAGCCATTATTTAAGCCAATATTAGAGAAAAATCTGATAAATGAACATTTGTATAAAGAAATATTTGTGCTATCTGTTCGTTCATTTGACGTAAACAAAATCGTTCTATGAAACAACGACATTTAAAAAAAAAGAGAGAGAAAGGTGTCTATTTTTATCGAAAAAACCCCCGGTCAAATAGAAAATGGAAAACATTGCAAAAAAAAACATTGCAAAAGTGCATTTTGCGAGAATGTTTTCTGTTGATAAGAAACTTTATTAAGAAATTGTTTTCTCTTAAATGAAATGGTTCAAAGATTAACTTTTCTTTTTGGGTAATAAAGAGATTTGTTAGGGCAGAAAACAGAATCAAATGTTTGTTCTTTTGTGCAAGGAAAGTGCATTGTGTTAAAATGTTTTCTGATCGGGGTATTTGAAGGGAGGAGAATACTTTCAAAGTTCAAAGTCCGTCAGTTTTTCAAGAAAAATGAGAGTAAATTAATCGTTTGAATAAGAATTGTTTTAAAGTGTTACGATTCATGAAAGATTTTATTAGATTATCGAGATTCTTGACAAGAGCACTTAAAAACATCGGGTATCCAATTGAAAAAAGAATAATTTTCAAAGAATCAAAGAGAAAGGGAACTTCTCTCAAGAGAGGAAGAGATAGAAGGGTGGATGGCACGACCGGCCGAGCACAGAGAAAAGAAAAACGGGTTGTTGACCCTCTGGAAAACATCCAAAATAACAAAATAACACTTCTCCAATTAGACGATTTCCTCTTTGAGTTTTTCTTTTAAAAGTTATCCAACTAGTGTCAAAAGAGTAAAGAAAGAAATAGCCTAAAGCAAAAGCACCAAGGATTTCAAATATTTTTCAGAAATTATTCCGGAAAGTTTTGGTGCTAAGAAGAACTATTAAAATAGCTATTAAGGATCTAAAAAATGACAAAATCACAAAAAATCACAAAAACAATCCTTTTGTGGGGCAATTCACATGAAATTTGTGCATTGAGCAGCGGTTTTCGAAAAAGATAAGTGGGAAGTGGAAAAAGAAATGAAAAAAGAGAAAAAAATAGATGAGACTTTGAAAAAAAAAAAGATAGGACGCAAAAAAGGAAATACCCACATTTGGGAAGATTAAGTGGAAATAAGGGACAAAATTTGATCTCGTGAATATAAATGAGGAAATGATCTTTAAATTAATCAAATCCATATCGGATGGTTGATCAAAAATGATGAGAATCATGGCTATAAATTGTTTGAGATGGACGAGAGATGGAGTTTTTCTTTGATAACGATGTGAAAGAGCAGAAAAAGCTGAAAAAATACAGAGTTTTTGATTAAGTTTTTTAAAAAGTAAAGGAGATTTTAAAAGTTTTACAATAAAAAGTAGCATTTCTGTCATATTAGGTTGAGTACTATCTCTTGAGAACCATTTTTGTTTTTTGTTTCATTAGCAAAGCATAGCTTATAAATTTTAAATATGATAATTAGACACGCATTACAAATCTTTCTATCTCAGAATGGTCCCGGTTACAAATTTTCAGATCTACAGCTAACATAGATAACTGTGATCCGAAACGGCAGCCAAGAAAAAAATAGCTTTGTCGTGAATGTGTTAACAACGGTAATCCGTTGGAGTCCTTGAGAAAGGAAAGAGTTTTTTTGGGTGTCAATTATATTACGTGGAGTACTAATTCTTGAGAACCATTTTTGTTTTTTTTTTATTAGCAAACAATAACATTTTAGAAATTTTTAATATGATAATCAGACATGCATTGTCTAGCTTTCGGCAAAGTTTCATCCTGATCTAATGGCTGGGCTTCAAGCAGGAAGCTTTTGTTCGCAAACAGTTGATGCGCTGATTCCGAGTCTGCTGTCCGTTTTTGCTAAATAGGTCGGAATCTCAAGGAATTTGGTAAAAAACAACTTTTTGACCTCTCTTATAACGCTTGCGCGCGCGCGACAAGGAAATGGTTGCGTGGTGTAGTGGGTAACGTGTCGAAATGCAAAGTTGGAGGCCGAGGGTTCGACTCCCTTTAAGTCTTTGGTTTTTGAACTAAAAGCAACTTTTTCGACGTTCTAATGTTTCACGATTGAAAAGTAAATCTTCGTTAGAATGCAAATTGAGTTCATCTTCAAATTTCATCTGTCAGTAATCCGAAAAATCGAGCCGACCTCAACTTTTCTAAATGTGGCTGAAATTTGGATATGATGTTTGTCTAATGAAAATAAGTAACTACGAAAAAAAAAAAACTACAGAGGGTTTCTGAGATTTTTGAGAAAAATTAATCGTTGAATCCGTTCTAAAAGTTGTTGAAAACATTGAATGAAACTGAAAGAAACCATAAAAAAAAACAAATTTTGTGCCAATGCGACCCCTGAGGCAAAACCAATTCTGACACACGATTTACCATCAAAAATCAACGCAAAAAAAAAATTTTCCGATACGCAAAGTGGGCTACTTTTCTGTGTATATGTTGTATATGTTTTTATGAAAATTTTGAAACATTGTTAGTATTCGATTGTCTATTAGGCAGCAAGTTTTTATCCTGTTTTGGTGAATGAAAGCTGAGCTTTCATTCACCAAAAGCTATGAATAAAAGAGCGAAAAAAGTGACCTGCAAAATAGAATCCCTAGAAAATTTGGCAGAAAAGAATCCAATCCAGAAACTTTCTTTATCAGTATGCTGCATCAACACCTAAATAAGATATTCGGTGTCAAATTCCCAACATTACCACATAAACTTTTAGACATTTCAAAATTTACTTTTTTCAGTTTCGAGCAGCTTCTTGATAATTTGAAATAGGGTTTCTGACAAAATCTCGATTTTCCGCCAAGCTATGATATTTTTCCTATTCCTGTCACCTAATATTTCTACTTGCCCCATTGCTTTCTCATGTTTAAGCAATTTCACGAAACGTTTTTTGTAATAACAAAACATTCGAAACAAACTACATTCGGAAGTAACAAACGCGCAATGAAAACAATAAGCGCACATTTTGGCTTAAAACACCCTCAGAAACTGAAAAAAATAAGTGATGAATACAAGTATTGAGTTGGGCTGAATGTACTGAAAAAGGTCAAGATTTCGTCTGGAGATTTTAACAGTCGAGATTTCGTCATTTGAGATTTTGAAAAGTCGAAATTTTGTCAATGGACCTTTGAAATGCTGTCAAAGTTTCTCGAAAAACTACTTGATATATATGTTTTTATTCAAATTATTTTCTTCAAAGTCTCTACTTCACATTGCCAACTTTTGGCTGCAAATTTTTCGGGATAGCAGGAGAATCTGGTTCACCGAAGATCAAAGAGTCCAAATCGACTGTTTGCGAACAAAAGCTTCCTGCTTGAAGCCCAGCCATTAGATCAGGATGAAACTTTGCCGAAAGCTAGACAATGCATGTCTGATTATCATATTAAAAATTTATAAAATGTTATTGTTTGCTAATGAAAAAAAAACAAAAATGGTTCTCAAGAATTAGTACTCCACGCAATATAATTGACACCCAAAAAAACTCTTTCCTTTCTCAAGGACTCCAACGGATTACCGTTCTTAACACATTCACGACAAAGCTAATTTTTTCTTGGCTGCCGTTTCGGATCACAGTTATCTATGTTAGCTGTAGATCTGAAAATTTGTAACCGGGACCATTCTGAGATAGAAAGATTTGTAATGCGTGTCTAATTATCATATTTAAAATTTATAAGCTATGCTTTGCTAATGAAAAAAAAACAAAAATGGTTCTCAAGAATTAGTACTCCACGCAATATAATTGACACCCAAAAAAACTCTTTCCTTTCTCAAGGACTCCAACGGATTACCGTTCTTAACACATTCACGACAAAGCTATTTTTTTCTTGGCTGCCGTTTCGGATCACAGTTATCTATGTTAGCTGTAGATCTGAAAATTTGTAACCGGGACCATTCTGAGATAGAAAATCTGAATCCGTTATTGCTTTTTGAGCAACTTTAATTTCCAAGCCAATACAGTCATCACAAAACTCTCTAAAAACTTGGGTGATTAAACAAAATTGGAGAAAAAAGAGCGAAACCAAGTTTGGCTTTCGTCCATCCCTAGAGGCCGTGTGCCAGAAGCCGCGCGATTACGTAAACATGAAAATTTTCACGTTTTTGTAATCGTGCGACTTCTGGCATACGGCCATGGATGTTGGGTCGCGCTTGAGTAATTAAACTGGATGAAATATTCAAAAATAGAGCAGCTTTCTTTAAAAACCAAGTACGGATTCGAATTCCTTGACCCGAAAAATCTCTGGAGCAAATGTTCAGCCCAATCGACCTCAAAAAGAGTGCTAAATCCACGTACGGTCTACCGTGGCCGTATCGCGAATATCTTAATCGATCCGCCTTGCTTGATGCCATCGTCGCTTCTAGTTCATAAAAACAATGAGTATTTAAACAAAAATCGATTAAACATATATTTTCTTATTTTTCCCGTTTCGTTAATTTTCTGACACTTTTCCACCTTTATTCAATCCCTCGAGGGTTCAGTCATAGAATGATCTTTGGTACACTTTGAGCGATTGCGCTTTCGCATTTTCTGAGCGTCACTATGCCCAAATTTTTGTCCTTAATTTGGCTGTATTTTTGCCAAAAATCCTACATCCCGTTAAACTATTTGTTACATAAACAGTAGCTAAATTGAGAGAATAATGCGATGAGAGTTTTGTCTCTCGATTTTCTCACTGTCAGGATTGATTTTTTTTCTTTCTCGATGCTCAATTATAAAACTCTATTTTACATCATTTATTTCACTTCTTGCTTTTGTAAATTGTAAATTGAAAGTGCTAAAAAGTGCTTATTATGCCTTTATCTTTTCAACAATACTCACAACAATCCACAACAATGGCAGGACAGTTCCGTTTAGAACAAGCCAAATCCTTATAGCACTATTTGAAGCAAATGTTTTGCGCCTTAAATTGTCTCTTATTCGATTCAGGTGAAAATATCTGAATGAATGATCTGAGTGAGGTGGATCGAATTGAGGGAAAGGGGAGGGAATGCGAAGAGAATGGGAAGAGGGCAAATATCTTCAATCCATTCACTTTCCTTTCCTTTCCTTTTTTCTTCAGTTAATCTCCACCCCTTTTTTTTCTATTCAATGTCAGGTGTAGAACTTGAGCGTTTCATTTTCACGTATTTTTTTTTCGTTATGTGGTATCACCCGATTGAACTTATCCCGATCTCTGTTTTGACAATTTCTCATTCATTACGTATTTCCATTTCCTTCTATTTTCAGTTATGGAAACCGTTGTCGTGACTGGTGGATGCGGTGTATTGGGACAAAATATTGTGAAGAAATTATGTGAAAATCCACTAATTGACGAAGTGAGAGTGATCGATAAAAGAACAACGATCACGACAAAAGGTTTGTCATTTGATTTGGAAAGGAATTTAATTGACTGACACCGGAGATTGCGTTTTGTTTTTGCTTTAGGAACTATGTAAAATTGAGCCAAAAAATTTGTTTTCTTTTGTGAGAAATGAATTCCTTCAAAACATCGCAAATATCTCCCAAAAATGCCATCTATGATAGTCAGAACGTGAGTGAAAATAGCTGCATTTCCTTATCTTTATCCTCAGAAAGAAGCTGGCTGCGATTTTAATGTGAAAAGGAAAAAAAAGGAGAAAAGAATGGCATCCGACTGTCGAATGATTGAAGAAAAAAAAGAGAAAGTGATCTCATTTGGAATGAGAAAAAAGGAGGGGGAAAGGAGAAGGAAAAGGACAAAAATGAGGAAGAGGAATTGACAAGAGGAGCAAGAGATTGCCCGTCCATTGGCTAAATGCCTTTAATACATTTAGAGATTTTAACATTTATATTAGGTACATGCATAAGAAATGCGGATTTCAACATTTTTATAAATTTCCAACGATAGAAACCTGATATCGATGATATAATCGATGAATGTTATAAACTATTTCAAAGTTGTAAATCTCCTCTACAAAATAGGCTAAAACGTTTTTCAATTGATCAAACCATTGAAGAAATTTCGAGGGCGATATGCGAGTGACCAAAAAAGGGCACTTTTTGAAAACCCCACTTTCACAAGAGTTTCACAAGAGGTTTTGACTATATAGTGGAAAATGAGCGCCCTAAAATCATTCAAATATCATTCGAAATAATTAAGAGTTCGGATCATTTCATGGGAGAACTTTGTTTTTACAATAATTTTTCTTTTTTGTGAAAAAGCCGGTTTTTTTTTGACAATTTTGAGGGTTGTGAACTTACCCTCTATCTAAATTTCTGTAAATGCATTTCCGTTTGACTTTTTTAATGAATTCATATATAGTTATCCTTTTTTTTGAAAATCTTCAATTTTGGGAAGCTAACTCTATTTTGACCACACTAAACTTGTCCCTAAAGTGACCACACTAAACTCAATTCCTTTTTTGGTCACTCGCATATCGCCCTCGAAATTTCTTCAATGTTTCGATCAATTGAAACACGTTTTAGTCTATTTTGTAGAGGAGATTTACAACTTTGAAATAGTTTACAACATTCATCGATTATATCATCGATATCAGGTTTCTATCGTTGGGAATTTATGGAAATTTTTAAATCCGCATTTCTTATGCATGTACCTAATATTTTTTTTTTAAATGAATGAATTTACGGGTCTAATCTAGATTTGATTTATGTTACTTCGATTTGAGTATTTCAACCATAATACCGATATTTGGATACCGTTATTATTTATATAGTTTTTCTTTTTCTAAACAAGCAATATGCTTTTAGAAAGAATCTCCCCCATCCGACCGGATTTTCTCTCTTTTCTTTGAACTTGTGTTATCCATCGAAAAGATCTCAATGGAGCATCAAAATCAAGACTCAAATTTCCGCTTTCGATTTTTGAAAAGCAAAAGTCTTCGAAAAAAATCTGAGAATTTGAAAATATATTTTAAAAAAACTTGCTTTTTTCAGAAATCCATCCAAAACTTCGTTACATCCAATTGGATTTGAGTGTAAATGATGGTGATTTAGATCGATCACTTTTTGGAGTCACTTCTGTCATTCATGCGGCCAAGGTTGGGGTGATAGGGGGAATATAGAAATTAGTTAGTTCTTTTAAAACGAAAATCTTCAGGCAGATATCCCGTTGACCTATCAAAGTAAAGAGAAATTGGCTGAGATGTGGAGTGATAATGTTGAGGGTGAATTTTCTTTTTTTTTTGAGGAAACACACGGAAAACTTGATATTTTTTTTCTTTCAGCTACGGAACGTCTTGTCGAAAGAATGATTGCTCGTAAAATTCGTCGTTTAATCTATATTGGTGACGCCTATTCAGCTTTGCCTGTTGATGATAATTTGGGACTTTCTGAGGATATTCATAGGTATTTTTGAAATGAAAATCTTATGTAAATTGTGGTAAATTGTAAAGATAAAGGTATTTAATTATCTCTAAATGTTAAAGATGAATTTTAGAGGAATTCCGTCGAGTTTTCTCATGGGTGAATGGGGCGAATCGAGGACAAGAGCTGAGCTTTTGGCAAGGAAAGCCGCGGAAAAGGGTTTGTTTTTTTTTTTGGAAATATTGAATAACTGGGAATAATATTTAGATAATCAATTAGATGCGATTTTCCTTCGTCCAACTTGGATTCATTCCGAAAAACCGTCATCATTTTGGATGGAATTGAGGCGACTAGCCGAGAATGGAGATTTACCGTATACACCGGGAGAAAGACGAGGATTACATCAATTTGTGAATGAATAAGGGGGAAATTTTACATCACAAAACACATCTTCAGATTTACGCCGACAATTTGGCGAAAACAATCGAGAATTGTGTGTTCTTTTTGAAAAATGATCCGAAGAAATATTCGAATGAGATCGTTTACCTCATGGATCACACGGGAGTTCAACCATTTATGCAAGTAAGTGATTGTTTTTTTTTTTGAGAAATCTCTCGAGATTCATCCACAAAAAGAGATTCATCGATTTGCTGATATTGGATTGTCCAGTTATGAATGCGCGTTTTTTATTATTTTGTAAATTTCTCAAGATACCGAAATCAAGAAAAAGATATACCGTAAATACTGTAGTAGTACCCCACCCCCCTCGTACAGTCGCGTAGTCGCAAAAGTTTTTTAGTATTTCATTTTTTTCAAAGCGCCCGTACTTTCAAAAAATGCGTCTTTGGTATCAAAAAATAGCCCTGAATTTCAGCTATTTTTTGATACCTAAGCGCGCATTGTAGCATAAACCAGTGTCGAGAAAAACTCGTTCAAAGCTAGACTACGCAACACTCCGCACCGTCATTATGGGGGTGGGGCACTATTACAGTATTTACGGTATATATATATGAGTATTATTCGAAAGCTGAAGATCTCCTCTACATTTTGATATAAAAAGTTGTTGAATTTGTCCAGCTTTTGGGCAAATTGACTGCACAGAAGAAGAGGTGGCCAAAAAATGGAAGGGATCAAGTTTTGGCTCCGCTCAAATCGAGTTAACCGTTTGATGTTTGGCCAATAGATATATGAATACAACTTTTTTTTAAACTATAACAATTTCAGAGCATCTTTACTTTTCTTTTCTTTTCTGGGCGGTTATTTTACACCATAAAACTTGAGGAATAGCTAAGCTGGAATGGGTTTTTTCGAAAACGACCTCTCGCTTTGTGCAGTCAATTTCCCAAAAAGTTGAATGAATTCAAAAACTTTTTTATTCCAAAATGTAGAGGAGATCTTCAGCTTTCGAATGATATATAACGCTCATATACTTCTTGATATCTTGAGTTCGATATCTTGAGAAATTTACAAAATAGTAAAAACGCGCATTCATAACTGGACAACCCAATAGATGCTCCCTACAAAAGACCCAAAAAACGAATATCGAATTTCTAAATTACTCAAGTAGATTATTGATTTTAATTAGGGTTAGATTTCGATTAATTCCTTTTTTTCTCTTCAGATTGTTCGTGAACGTGTTGGACCATCATCTCTCTCGACTCCGATCACTTTTCCTATCGCTTATCTCACAAATTCCCTCCGTCATTTCACATACTTTTGTGGAAAGGTACTTGACCAAAATTTAAAACTCAAAATTCACCACGTTCAAACGGTTCAAACGGTTCAATCATCTTTTTTTGTTCTCTCTCTCTCTTTTAACTGAATACCTAATTTTTGATGCATCTTGTGTTTCTTTTCTTTTCTCTGAGAATTTGTCTCGGGAGGTTCTTGACCTTGTACTTGAAAAAAGAGAAAAGAATTCAATTATTTCAAAAAAAAAAACACCTTTAAAGCGATTTGGCAAATTTTAGATTGAATTGAAAAGAGAATTGAACAAATTCACCGAATTTTCAATGATCAAATTTTGATGTTTTATTACGTCAAATTTGGGAATCGAAAATGATTTGTTTTTTTGCAGAAACACGATGGTCAACTCCATTTTCACACATGGAGAACTCTTTTTGAGAAAGTGATCGGATTCAGCGAAAAGAAAGCACGAATTTTGCTTGAATATAAACCACAGGTATTTGAATCGTTTTTAAAAAAAGTCATACATTTTTAGAAAAGTTTTGTAATTTTAGGTTAAAAACGTAGATATACACATTTTTCTCGTAGCTACAGTCCATTCATTCATGCACTAGATGCCAAGCGTTTACAAAATGTATTTAGACGTATAAGACCAAAGTTCAAAGTACTTTGGATGCGCAAAATCCGAAAACACACCCATTCTGGTGCACTCAATTCAGAACAAAGCAAATGAGAGAAAGTTACGAATAGAGTGCGCTAGAAAGGGTGTGTTTTGAACAATAAACTCTCAAAGAATAGACTCAATCTATATACCGTAAATACTGTAATAGTACCCCACCCCCCATAATGACGGTGCGGAGTGTTGCGTAGTCTAGCTTTGAACGAGTTTTTCTCGACACTGGTTTAAGCTACAATGCGCGCTTAGGTATCAAAAAATAACTGAAATTCAGGGCTATTTTTTGATACCAAAGACGCATTTTTTGAAAGTACGGGTGCCTTGAAAAAAATGAAATACTAAAAAACTTTTGCGACTACGCGACTGTACGAGGGGGGTAGGGTACTATTACAGTATTTACGGTAGGTAATACTTTTTTCAGATTTCATCCGAAGAATCTTTTCGTCGATCATTGTCTATGTTCAAACAATCCGAGCAAAAATCCAGAGAATTTGTGGATGAATACGAGATTGAAATCAACGAAACGACAAAGAAATCATCATCGATCAGACGAGCACAACAAGCTTAACATTTCATTATTTCATTTAAAAGCTATTTGTAAGCGATAAAATGTACGATTGCCGAATTTAACTGAAGATAATGCCCAAGAATGGTTGAAAATGAATAATTGATGAAAGTGAGTACACGTAACAATCACATTCCTTTTCCTCCATCCCCCTCATGGTCAATCCATTAAAAGGACAACAATATGAAGATCCGATTACACAAAACTCGCGTTTGCCAAGAGAATTTCTCTAGAATCAATTTTGAATCCAAGAAAAGAAGTATTCTAATTTTTTTTGTGTTAAAATTTATTGATGAAATTGCGAACAATTGGGTACATGGGTGATGCTGATATTGTGACTTTCACGAAAAGGTTTCATTCAGAATATCAATAAAAACACTTCTAAAAATATCAATAACTTTTTAGTTAGCTATTTATTTTCCTATTTTATTTTCCTATTATAGGCAGTTTTTAGGCAGATATAAAATTTCAAAATTTCAGCTGTTGGAGTATGAAATGCAAGAAACCGGGAATCGATGTCGATTATCTCAATACAGCACTCAAATTGGCGGGATTGGAGGCAGAGGTTTGAAGAAATATCGGATTCACCGGAAAGTCTTGTCCACTTTTTTTAAAGGTGACTTTTTGAAATGAATAATGAACCAATCGATCTATTGTTTTCTTTATCAGAAAATTCTATTATCTATTTACAAGTTGCTCCTCAAGAAATTCTGAAAAGCTTGTGTTAGTTCATTTTTTTTAAAGATGCAAAGTCGAGCAGTCAAAAACGATGAAACTCAAATCGGGATTCCCGATTTGGGATTCCAGGAATTTCCAATTTGAGCACCTTTCGTCACAGAAGCCCATTTTGATGTCAAAAGACAAAAGATAGATAATAAAAAGTTCGACAAATAGTCAAATTTTCATAAAATTGCCCAAGCCATTTTCATTCTATGTCCATTGTAAGGATTTTCGGAAAAACAAAAAATTTCCGTTTCGATTTGCTTCAAAGTGGACTCCTGCTTTGCCTGATTTGCCCAAAAAATGAGCAAAACGAAATAGTTAAATAAACGAAATTCGAAAAAGGCGGCAAAGACTTTCTAGCCAAATCAAAATGAATACATTGAAATACGAAAATGATTTGTGTTTATGTAAAAAATAATTTGAAGGTAATTCCATACAATTATGGTGTCTCATCAGCTATTTCAATGATCGAAAATGGAACAGCCGATATGACAGTACATGCAATTGTACAAAGCTCGGATCGATTGAATAAAGTGAAGAAGCTTTAGGGTGAATTTAGGGAATTTCAATAAATTTCAGGTCGATTTCACGATTCCGGTCAATTATGTCGTTTATGGATATTTGACGAAAGAAGTTGAGGAAATACAGGTTTTTTTTTTCTTGCCAACACATTACAAATGAGAAGAGCTTTTTCTTTTCAATTGATTTAAGGTCAAAGAATTCATCATTGATTCATTGTGTCCTGAAGTGATTCTTTTATTGGCATTGGCACTTGTATCTAGGTAATGCTTTTTTTGGGTTCATGTAATTGTTCACGATGAAAAGAAAAGTGCGGAAAATTCAGTCCAATTGCCATGTGGATTTTCTCGGGATATAAAGCGAATTATTGGAATTGGCTATTCTCGGCTGCGCGAACTCTTCTCAAACAGGATACACCACATCGGAGAATGTGAATCTTACTTATTATAAGACGCAAAGTTTGTGTGTGTTTGTTTGTGTGTGTCTCGAGTTTCAGTGGGAATTTCGGTCGAATTTTTTGAGACAATATGTAATTTTTCATAATAATTTTTTCATAACCTCATAACTCGAGTTTCAGTGGGAATTTCGTTAAAATTTTTTGAGACAATATGTAATCGACGTGGAGGTTTTGGCCTGTTAAAACAGAATTGAGAAATCTTTAACCTTTTTTGTGTAACGTTGAAGAAACTGATTGTGAATTTGGCGGCGAGATCAAAGGTTATCTAGGGGTACTTTAAAGATGAATTTTGAGTTCATTTTCTCTGAATATATAGGGAGGAAAGATATTTAACTTTTGAGAAATTTTGAAAATTTTTTATTTTTTGAGAAAACGTCAAAAGTGGAAAAGTTCAAAGGGTCGGAACAAGGATCTCGGGAGATTTTCCCTCTCAAACTCAGTTTAGTTATTGAAATGCGAATTCAGTAGTAAAATAATGAACTGTAGTAGATTTATTAGCAATTTAATACCCAACTTTGACTCATGTAAAGTATGCGTTGGCCCAAATTGGTCAGCAGTTAACCTCCAGGGTTTAGCTGGAGGTTAACTGCTGTTCATAATATTTCATTTCAGGCGACACACTCTGGCTAATGCATTTTTTATCATTTCATGGATTTGGTTTTGTTTCTTTTTCACTTTATACTTTGAAAGTGCAATGAAAAGTACATTGACATTGTCGGCAAAGAAAGGGTTTCATTAAATTATGATAAGATGTTTGATCTATGCAAAGTTTAGTTATGAATTCGTGAATCTTGATGGATTGTTGAATGCTGTTGAAAAGAAAGGTAGACATGGAAATGAAATATTCTTCGAAAAATGTTTTGTTTTTTCGGTTGGCGAGTTGTTGTTCAAGATGAGATTGGATGGGATCCAATGGTTTTTTGTCGAAATTCGCATGATCAATGTAATCGTTTGCAACATGCAATCAAACAGTTAAGTGCTTTACAATAATCTATTGGACTTTTAAAAAGCTATTGGGTTGGTGAATTGGACTGCCGGACTTTGAACTAAAATTTATTCAACATAAAACCATGAATTCATTCCAAATAATTTCCTTCTGCCCATTTTACAGGCAATTTGCGGACTCCTCTTTAGGATTTTGGTTTGTGTGTGAGACAAGTGTGAGACAAGTGTGAGACTCAAAAATCGAGGATTGGAGATGTCCCAGTTTGAGCACTTCCTTCAAAAGAAACCCATTTTGGTGTCAATGGAAAAGTTGTAGAGAATCAAAAATTAGGCTTATAGCGAAATTTCCAAAAAGATACACTTAGTAGTTTCGCTTAAAATGCAAGTTTTGTGAAAATTCGTGAATTTGGCATTTCTTGAAGACCAGTTTTTGAATCGTTCTGAAAATTTGGATATAAGCTTGATTTTTGATTCTCTACAACTTTTCCATCGACACCAAAATGGGTTTCTTTTGAAGAAAGTGCTCAAACTGTCACATAGGACAATAGCCGGCAGTTTTCAATCCACCAACCCAATATTTCATCGTTAACCATATCTCGATGAAATAGAGTGACTTTATGTCACGAATTTCTTTCTCATCCACCATCTTTTTCCAGAGCTCTTCACATATCAGCAACTCAGGATGTCTATTCCGTAATGCTTTTTTGTTTATTGAATAATATAAAAATCATCTTTCCAGTCGATGCCTCAATTTTCTGTAATGTTTACAGCTCTTCATAATCATATGGTTACATCAGATGTGGTTTTTGTTGATAAAAAGGAGCGACTTCTTTTTATTAAAGATTCGACCCTTCAACCGGGCATTCTTTCATATGCAATTAGCAAGTTTTTATTCACATTTCACAGGGTTTTTTATTTTCGAAAATTTCAGAAATCTCACAAAAATACTCGAAAAATTGAATAAAGGTTTTGAAAGAATCCAGGGATCTTATGATAATTTTGCAGCAAGGTTCGTGAATTTTTATGAGAATTAAAAGAAATATTCTGCTAGATATGCTAATCCATACATTCCATACAATCGTCACGATGGTTTCAATGAATTTTTTCAATTGAAATTAATCTATTTATGGCCACTTTTTCGTTTATCTTTTAGCTTCATCGGGATTTCGATCGGAGTTTTCATTATTGAGATTGTTGCCGTAAGTGAATGTCGATGATTGACATCATTCAAAAAGTACGAGAGAAATGATTGTTATTTAGGCGAAATCTCGTCTACACATTCATTTACTTCACGAGAAATGTGTTTGTGATGAGAAGATAAATGAACGACACTTCACTCGACGCTCACTTTTTTCTTTCATCTTTTCAAAGAATCGAAAATACGATACGAATTTAGTTTCTTGATGTTTTATTTTAAAAAAACCAAAATTTGATTGATAAAGCAATGTTTACGTTTCATAACTTTCAACATTTCAAACATTTATCCCATTTTTTTACCATTCATTATTGAGATTGTCGCCAAAAGTGAATGTCGATGATTGACCTCATTCAAAAGTACGACAGAAATGATTGTTAGAAATGATTCTTTGCCATTCTTTACTTGTTTACCTCATAAAAATGTCCAATCTTATCGCTTATTCTCGATTCCGAATCTCTAATCACATATCATTCTTTTCCTTGTCATTCCTTTCATGAATTTCCCACCACAGTCCATCGATTGTTCATTCTTTTCATACGCAACAATCCTATCAAAAAGTTATACTTCTTTTTAAATAAAAGTCTTTTTTCTTCTCAAAAATGAAACTACAAACAGTTAGATATATGAATGACAATTTTTTTGGTTGAAATTTCGAAAAAAGTGAATTAAGACTATTTTTGTTAAGACTATTCCCTATTTTTAGTTGTTGGAGTATGGCTTGTGCTCAACCGGGAATCGATGTCGATTATCTCAATACAGCTTTAATACAATTGGCAAAAAATGAGGCTGAGGTGAGAATGGGAATAGAATTATTATATCGGATAAAACTCTTGAGTTAACGATTAATTTCCAGGTGATCCCAAAAGATTATCCCATTCCAGTTCCACACCGATTATCGAGAATGGGACAGCTGATATGACAGTACATGCAATCATTCAAACTGCGGAAAGAATGCAAAATGTTCGTTATTTTTGAGAAACATACAGTAAACAAAAGAAAAATCTTTGTGTAAAGTACTTTTAAACAAAAGAAACTTCTAAACTTTTAATGTACTTTTAAACAAAAGAAAAATTATTGTGTAAAGTACGCAGTGATTTTTCTTTCTGTTTTATAAATGATTCTAAATGAGATTTATGTTAAAAGTTTGTGTCCCTAGGTTTTCAGTGTCGTAGAATCTATTGGCGGAGTTTCTTTTAACCCTTTGTCCCAAGAAAAGTCTCAAATGTTAAGAATATGATAGCTTTTCACAATGTAAAGAAAAATTTTCCGAGAAGAATCCATACTTTTTATTCTCTTCAATCTCCCACTTACTGCAATGAGAACTTAAGATATTCAGTCGATTGCAGTGAGAAAAAGACTGACTTTCTAGTTTCTTTAAACTCACATGGCTTTTGCGATAGATACAGTACTGGGCAATGAAATATGATATTTGAAAAACGATCGTCACTTTCGCGCGTCTGTAACTCCCTTGTCTTTATCGTATTTCTAAATATTAATATTACCATTGTGTAGCCCTTGAAAAGAGCTTTCAGAAAATGTATAACACTAATAGTTTAAACTCAAAGACAAAGGAGTTACAGACGCGCGAAAGTGACGATCGTTTTTCAAATATCATATTTCATTGTCCAGTAGTGTATTTCTATAGATTTCTCAAATTTCTAAATTTCTCAAATCCAGGTTGATTTCACGATTCCAATTAATTACATTGTTTATGGGTTTATGGCAAAAGAAGTACAAGAATTGCAGGCACCATTTTTGTCTGTTCATTAATGGAATTATATCTTGTGATTTCAGGTGCGCGTTGTGTGACAATAAAGTGTTTGATTGAATTGAATTGAATAGTTTATATATTAACTCTAATATGACATCACGATGACAGTAAAAAAGTTTTAATTTTATGCCAAAAATCTTATGGTCACTCAGAAATTTCATGTATAAGAAGTTATGAAATTGGGGAAAAAGTGTAAAAATATCAAAATGCCTGCCCAAAATCTTCACTTTGGCGCCACAACAATCACAATCACTCACATACAATCACAATCACCAGAAGACACTAGAAATGCTGTGAAAAATCGAGCTAAGTTGACTTTTGGACCACCTGACTTGGAAGACCCTGTATACTCGCAAATAGATAGACGAATGAGTGGGATACTCTATTGATTTGAAAAAGAAGAGAAATAATCAACTATTCGGGTTATTTGAAGAGAAGATCTCACGAGAATGCGTTCAATGCGATCAATGCGGGCACAAAGAGGATTTCGTTTCATTTACAGATAATATTTCTGATCTTTTATTTATTACATTTCACTTTGCTCAAATTTATCCAAATGAATTCTCAATCTTTCGTCGGTTCTCTTTGCATTTGTCCTGTATTCCCCGGTTCGCTCAAAAACGAATCCAATAATCGAATGTCTTGTTAAATGTGTTTTTGTCGTTTTCTTTTAGAGTGTGTTCCTCGCGAGTAATGCATTTTTTAAAAGGCACACTTGGGAAAAAAATCACCGTACTTTTAGCAAAAATTATTGCAAAAAAAGTGACGCAAAAATGACGAGCCCCGAATTATATACGACACTTTTTAAAGATACTCAGCCGTTTAAATGATTTTGCGGGAAATTCCCTTCCAATGTAAAAATTGATTTGTTTTGAAAAACCTGCGCAAAAAAAATTGCTTTTATATTTTTTTTCGCGCAGGCGCACTTTTTAGAAAACGCATTACTCGAGCTATTACTCGAATAAAAAAATTACCCATGCAAATTTACTCGAGTAATTACTTACTCGCGAGGAACACACTCTATTTTCTTTTCACATCGACACTTCTCGCGTATCAAGTGAATATAAAAACCGGATTTCTCATAAAATTGAAATAAACTCTTGTCCTTCATTACTGAACTGACTACGTTGAAGGCTGAAGTACGCTGGAGTACGCTGGAGTACGCTGGAGTACGATGAAGTGACTTTTTTTTGGAACACCCTGTATGATTAAAATGTTACCTTCATGTTCTGCTCAATATGTCGTAGCCGCGATTGAAATCATTTGCAAAAACGACTCGAAATTGAATTTTAAATGCAAATGTCAACATGCAAAACTTTTTTCATATTAAATATTTTAGTGTAAATCTTATGAACTTTATGGCAATTTTAGTCCTAAAATGATTTATCTAAAAATGATAATATTAATAGAAAAACAACGACGACAGAATTTAATGAAAATACAGAAATACAATAATACAATGCAGAAAATACAATACAGAAAATAATAAGCCAACAATTTTGACAATAAAAATGTTTAAAATGAAAAAAAAAACAACAATTAATTAGTAAATAAGTGAGTTGAAAAAATAAAAAAAAACACATGTTAACAAATGAGGATTAAAATAGAATGCTTGATAATGAAAGTTTGCGTTTATTTAAAATTCTGATCTCAAAAATTTTGCATATAGACATTGGCATTTAAAATCGAGTGATTTTGTGAAAAAATGATTTCAATCATTCATATTATTTCAATCGGGCGGCTAGCCTACAAAATAATTCTAATTTTGTCCAGATATTTAATTTTAGTTTGGCTTTATTTTGTGAGGATTTGATATTGAAAAGTGAACGAAATACAAAGAATGCATGAGGACAAGACTTAGCCTATAAGAGACTTCATCTACAACCCACTCAAAACACTCCCCGATCTGTCTTGCCTTCTTTCTTGCCTTCTTTCTTGCTTTCTTTCTTCTTCCTTGCCTTCTTTCTTGCTTTCTTTTTATCCCCTTTCATTATCGGTGATCTCTTTGATGATCTTGAATGTGTCCCTTTCTTTTTTTCCTTCTTCAACCTCATCCATTCCCTTTTTTTCCTTCCACACGGGAATCCGCATGTAAACAGAGAATTTTTGGCGCTGTCTCTTTATTTTTCCCTTTCCCCTTTTCTCTTGTCCTCCCGGCCACAAAAATTTCATATTTGCCCACTGGACTTGCATCTGGAGAAGGGATGGACCCCATTCCTTTTTCCCTCCCTGTACTCGTCTCCTTGTATCCCCTCCGTGTACCCATTGCCTTCTCCGAGAAACTTTCTTTCCCCCTTCATCCCACTTGTTCATTGCCCAGTCGTTTTTCACGTTTATTTGAATGTTATCACTTGCCTAACTTTGGCTAACTTGTTTAGTGTTCCATTTTTTCAAAACCACTTCTACATTTCTTTTCAAAATGCTGACTTCGACGTGATTTTGTACATTGCCCATTTACCCATTTGTACATTGTCCATTTGTACATTGCCCATTTGTACATTGCCCATTTGTACATTGCCCATTTGTACATTTGCCCATTTGCCCATTTCTCGAGTTGGAAGAAATTTGAACTGATTTATTAGACTCTTTGCTGTTTCTAAGAAAATGCAAAAAGATTAAGACACAATAATGACACATTGTCGATCATACACTTTAAGTAGAGACATTTAAGATTTGTCAATAATCTAGATCAAATCATTTCTCTATCGCATGACATCAAATCCAGTTGATTGCGTAAAAATTTTTGGGGCAAGGGTTTGAAGGACCGCTTCACGGGTCTCCGTGATCTTCAAAAGAGAGACAGATAGTGGGGAATGGTAAAAGATCGAGAAATGGAGAGAGTGTAGAAGAAATCGGAGAGACTATTTGCTAGATAGGTGGATGGGCATAGAAGAGGAGGGAAATCATTCAATGACTGGGTCTCTTCAGGGGAAAGACGGGGTGAGACTGGCAGAAGGCAGCAGTCTCTCGCCGGGTCGAATGGCACACCCGGCTTTCTTTCTCTTCAAATCCTTTTCTAAAACTCTCTTCTACTTTTTTTTTTGCCATATCTTTTTTTCTCGAATTGAAACCCTCCCATACTTTTCTCTTCACAAATAGATTTTTTCGCTTTTCCTCCTTTTCTTCTACGAGACACCCCCGCACGTTTACTGGTTAAAGGGAACTGTCGAGTCAATCATCCAATATCGATTCATTTATTCAATTTATTCAATTTATTCTTTTTTTTCTTTATTTTCGATATTTTCTATCTTTTCTATATTTTCCAATTTTCAATTGAGTATTTTAGAAAACAAGTAATGAAGGAACCATGCTTTCGGTGTAAAAGACCGACTTATTTCAATGATAAGGTTTGTCGATTGGTTTAGAGAGGGGAAATTGCAGCTGAATATCAAACGAATATTATTTTTAGTGATATGAAGCCCATAGTGACTATCTAAACAACTAAAATAGCCGATAAAATAGGGCTGAGAGATTTTGGCGGAGAGATTTTTTCTCTTACATTTTATTGTTTAGCTGTAAATTTTGCTGAAAAAGTAGCGAAACATCATGTCAAATAGCATCCATATCAATTAAAATGGATTAAATAGATTTAAATGCTCAAAAAAAGTCAACTTTTACAATCACATAGTTGAATACTCATCAAGTTAATGCCATATCACTTTTTTTTCTTATCTTTTTTTTTATCTTTAGGTGGGTCCGTTGAAAGACGGTGCTCTCTTTCATAAAGGATGCTTCAAGTGTTGGATTTGTGGGACGAGGCTCTCTTTGAAAACATATCATAACAATCGAAATGATACACAAGATCTTGAGGTTTGCAGCTAAAAAGCTAAAGAGAGATATAAAATGATATAAAATATAATGATATAAAATGAATACACTCATCATTTGTTTTCAGGTGTATTGTGCAGGTCATGTGCCGACTCCCGGTCCTCACGATCCAATCCCACACAGGTTTGCATATTGAGAAATTCCGCAAGCTATCCCTATAGTTCTTGATCTTAAACTTGAACTCTGTTAAAATTAGGGAGCTTTAAATTTGTGTTTTCATGTGTAAACAAATGTTTTCTAGATCAAATCTTCTGTTTTCTCCAAAAACGAAAGGCGAATATCCACATAATATGATGAGACCGACGGGACCTGTTTGATTCATTTAAATCGATATCATCGATATCATCGATATCGATCATTTGTATCCCAAATTAGCAATGGGTTTGGTCGATCGTTCTTTGCGCTTCGACGTAAACTAAATCGATCTGGCACACCAAAATCCCAAGTACTCTACCAACCAAACAAACGATACCAAACTGTTGCGAGAAAAATGAGGAATTCGCGGTGCCAGATCGATCTAGTTTACGTTGGAGCGCAAAGAATAACCGACAAAACCCATATCTAATCCCAATCCCCTTCTTATTATCTTAATACTGCCATTTTTTTTTTATCCATTTCAACAAATCCTTTCAATATTTCCTCATATTTTTATTTCATTTTCCTTCTTTTTTTTTTCGATTCAACGTTGCCATTCGTTTCTTGAAAAGCAAAAAGAACGTCTTAGCACTTGTACAGTTTTCATTTACCTCTTATTAAAGAAAGAAAAAACGGTATTTGTGTTTGATGAAGTTTTTAAATAAAATTTCTAACAAAATAATTTTTGATTTTTGGAAGCTAGACGCATTGTGACGTTGTAAAAGGCCTTGAAGAATGGGAGGGACGAGGTGCAAATTGAAAGACACCAAAATGGAAATTGAGAAGGACATCCTGAACTCGAAATGATCATTTTTATGTATTTTTGGGTGTCGTGGAAAAGAGATTGATATGGGAGATTGATACAATGAGACAATTCAAATGGCATGATGATGAAGAAGAGGAAAAAGAGAGACCTTCACAGTGAGTCTCCGCTCTCCTCTCCTCCTCCTTCTCTATCTGACACTCCCTGAGGCATTGTTGCTGCCTTCTTTGAGACATCCCCCTTTCTTTCACCTCCATCCTTTTCTTTCTCAGCTTCACTCAGTTCTCAATTTTTTAATCTTGGCAACCGATGCGACTTTTCGTTTCTCTCCTCTTCCTGTTTTTAGGTGAGTGTCCCAGGTTTTTTTTTTATTAAAAAATTTGTTGATTTTTATTCGAAATTATCTGTTATCAAAAAAAAACAGAAATTTTACATTGTTCCTTTGCATTTGCACTTCTTTAAGACTCAAATCTTGACCTTACTTTTGCTATATGATCGGCAAAATCCTGGGAAATAGGGGATTAATAACGTTGTGGTGGTCATCGTGTGGCTCCTCGTTTTTCTTCTCAAAAAGCTTCCATCGCTTGATCTATTCTCAAAAAGGAGAAAAGAAAAAAGATGCGAAGCGGTGGTGGATGAGGGGTGATTCCGGTCTATGGCTTGGCTCGGTAAAAGGTCAGCGAGCAGCTTGTGTGGAGAGGAGTCCGGAGTGTGGAGAGGAGTCCTCACCCCCCCGCTCTCCACACGACAAGACTCCCCTTTGTGATAACCTGAATTCCCCCTCAAAATCAATCTATCCTCTTCGCCGATCTTTCTCTCGATGATTTGCCTTCTCCTCTTTCCCATTGCCTTTTCTGTGTGGTGCATTCAATGCCAACCGCACAAAATCTGTGAAAAAACTATCGAGATGTAATTGGCATGTCTTCTCCCCTTTTTCCTCAAAACCATATCAATCAGCAAATTAAGGCAAAACCTCTTTCCATACAAACATCCAGCAGAAATTGTTGAAATTTGAAGATTGATAGAGGTAGACTATGTGATTTCTCAAGGTTCAACTACAGGGTGCGGCATAAGTATGGTTACAAGGTTGTAACATTGATTTAAGAAACTGATTGATTTTTATTTCTTGCCAAAGGATTATTTTCTCTTAATTTGAATGCTTTTTTATATTATGTAGCAGTTTTTAAGCAAATTTTTAAGTTTGGACATAATGGTGAAGGCTTCTCCCAACCGTGCCGCTATTCTTCAGCTTGGAGCACAAGGACGATCAACTTCGAATATTGCCCAACTGCTGAAAATGCATCGAATGACGGTATACCGCATTTTGCAACAAAATAGAGTAGAAGAGCTTCCTAAAAGTGGACGTCCGCTAAAAATTGATCACACGAGACTCAAGAAAATCATTAAGAAACGAATCCAGCGCAATCCTGCCCGGAGCATGAGAAAAATGGCTCCCCAATTGAATGTTTCTGATAGAACTATCCGTCGTATCGTCAAAAAGGATCTGGGTCTTCACCCTTACAAGTTAAGGAAGCATAATGGCCTGACGGATCTTCAAATGAGAAACAGGAAGCAAAAATGTGCTCTTCTTCTTGCAAGGGCCGCAAATGATGAGCATCTGACGACGCTTTTTACCGACGAGAAATTATTCAACATTGAGCAAGTTTTCAACTCTCAAAATGCTCGAATTTTGGCTCACAGCCCTCAAGAAGCAAATAAAAGTGGCCGATATGTGGACAGGAACTCACATCCAGCAGGAGTCATGGTTTTTGCAGGGGTGTCAGCAACTGGTCGCACACCGTTGATTTTCGTTGATAAAGGGCTGAAAATTAACACAGACGTGTATCTGGACGTTCTCACAAAACATGTACAGCCGTGGAGTCAAGGACATTATCAAAATCAGCGCTGGACATTGATGCAAGACGGCGCCCCAGCGCACAAAGCAAAAAAGACTCAAGAGTGGTGCCGAAACAATTTGCCCGACTTCATTCCCGCCAATGAATGGCCAGCTAATTCGCCGGACCTCAATGTTATGGATTTCTGTGTTTGGGCAATTTTGGAGCAAAAGCATGCACAACAAAACATGCAAACGTTGAAAGTCTGAAAAAGGCTCTGAAGAAAGCCTGGACGGAAATTCCACAAAGTTACCCTGCGGGCCGCCGTGGAAAGTTATCCAAAGCGTCTTAAAGCCGTTATCAAGAATAAAGGTGCCCATATTGAATAATTTGTTGTTTTTAAATGAATATGATTACTGTTGTTAATTTTAAATAAAGTTTGCATGAATCCGTTCATTTTTCGTTACGATACACGGTTCTGAGTCTGTAACCATACTTATGCCGCACCCTGTAAATAAACGACCCTTAGAGAACCAGCACTCTAGGGTGTGCTTATCAGAGCACAATCAATCGAGAAACAGTGAAGATTGAGTGCACTAGAAGAGATGTGTTTACCAATCTCGAAACTCCCCTAAATCCCTAAATCCCCAAAAAAAGAATTTCTTCTCGAATTTTTCCATACCTAGAAAGTTCAAAGGAAAAACAAGAGAATTTCATCTTTTAGACTGAACTTGGAAATTTCTGACATGAACTTGTCAAGCTTATAATCTTAAATAAAAATCTCGAACTTTTCCCATTTACACGACATAAATTTCCCAGAGGAGAGAGGTCAAAAGCATGAAAAAAAAAGAGAATAGACGTCTGTAAATGGATGGAATTTTTCTCGATTTCCGAGAAGAATCTCCCTCCTTTTCTCTATTTTTTGATGTGCCTACTATTTATGTGTGTTAATTTGAGAGGGAAAAGAATGAATCGTTCTCCCCATTAAACAATCCCCGTTTTTCTTTTTCATCTCTTTACATTCAAAATGAGCCTCTTTCTCTCAATTTCTTTCTCTTTCCCCCCTTTTTTTTAAATGAACTGTGCCATTGGTCAAAACTCGTTCCCCATCAAAAATGCGCCTTTTCTCACCCTCCAAAATTCTTTGAGAGTGAAAGAGTTAGTTTGTGAAAATATATAAACACTTTAGTTCTAGTATTGATTCGATTTGCTGAATGAAAATTTGAACTTTTAGAAATAATGCGCAAGAGATGCACATCAAAACGAAACAGAAGTTAAAACTTTAATATTAAAGTTTAAGGTTTGCTGTCACCAACTTTGGGAAAGGACAATGAATTGGAAATCGATATGGAAAAGAGTCCGGGTAAGGCACTTGATTTGATGAAAGGGGAAGTTGAAAAGATGAAAGAAGAGCCTCAAAGTGTTCAGCTAACAAATGGTTTACAAACTAAAGCTTATTCTATTTTTCCAACAACTGTACTTGTACTGAAATGAGACAGGGACTTGGTTATGAGACTTACAATTCATTGAAAGCGAACTGGCCCTCAAGGCCATAAGCCAAGCCAGGCCAGGGCCAGAAATCATGAAAAGTCATTATACAGGATGCGGCATAATCACTGATCCAAGTTTTTAGAAAAACCTATTTTTCTAAAAAACTTTTCACAAGAAATGTTATGTATTATATACTATTTGAAAGCTCTAATTCTCAGCTATATTAGCTCACAAAGAGTTTTTTGATTGGAAAAACTTTCGAATCCTTAAGGCGACTCGGGAGGGGCACACAACAAGCAAACCATTTCTCTTGGTGTTCTAGATAAGAATGCTTCCTGAAAAATTCTTCTTCAATGGCAAATTTGTGCATAGTTTATCAAGATAAATCATTTCAATAGTTTTCCACAAAAATGATAGATTAAAAATGTTTTGATCACCAATTTTTGAAGCCTCAACACATGCGGTTTTTCACCCTTTCCCAAAAAATGAGTGCCTTGACGCAGAGCGGGAGACTTTTTTGAGCTAGAAGTTGCCTCTATTTTGTCAAGCTTGCTTTGTTCTGAGCTAATAGATTGGTTAAAAGTTTATTCAACTAAAAACAACCCCTTTTAAAACTCTCTTTGCCTAGTAAACGAAGAAAAATGGTAGCGCAGTGTTTGCCCCCTCCCGAGTCGCCTTAAGGATTCGAAAGTTTTGTCCAATCAAAAAACTCTTTGTGAGCTAATATAGTTGAGAATTAGTATATAAGCTTTCAAATAGTCTATAATACATAAAATTTCTTGTGAAAACTTTTTTAGAAAAGTAGTTTTTTTCTAGAAACTTGGGTGTATAAGTCCGGCCTGATCGGGAAATTTGCTCCCAGAGCCAGCCATGATTTAATGTGCTCAATGTGTAAGTGTGTTCACTCATTTGATGAAGTTAATCGTAAAAAACCGGAAAAGTTTACCGATTTTATCTGTTCATTTGAATTCTATCTCAAATTTGACTTCAGGCTTCTCACCCGAAGCTTCCCCGCCGGGCACTCATCCGACAAAAAGTGCCGAACTGAAAATGGTAAATTGTTTTTTGTCAAGAAATATTGCTAAATACTAACATGTGTACATTTTCCAGACAACACCAAAACCTAATGCCAAGGTTTGTTTTCTAATAAATGCTTAAGCTTTCTCTCGTTTTTTTTTGCTTGCGAATAAATGAATTGCATTGCTTCGATTCTTTGGCGCCAATGTTTTATATCATAAGAAAATCCCCTTGAATACAGCGTTGATTTAGATTGAGGACGAAGAAGATCAAGAAGAAAATTCGAAACGAAAAACAACAGGTTTATTTTAAAAACAAATAGTTTCTCATTAGGATTCTTAAAAAGGACTTAAAAATGACTTACAAAAATGAAAATAAATCCTCTGATCTATATCTAAAAGTTTCCCCGGAGAAGGAAGAAATCGACAAAAATGGAGATGAAAAAGGAAACGAAGAAAAGAAAAAAGAAGAAAAAGCATGCAGAGATCGACATGATTTATGCAAGGTAAGTGAAAATGAAAACTAAAGTTATAATTGGATAAAAACAAAGTTGTTAAAGGGATTGAAAGTTTCTCCCTTTTAGGTTTTCTAAAGCGGGACAATTTTCGGAAAAGGTAGTTACCTTGAACTACTTTTATTCAATCTACCAAAAATGGAGATATTTTAGAAAATAAATCATTTAAAGAGATCACATTTTTCCCTTGTTAACCAGCATTGAAAAGAATGAAATGATGAAGAGATTTCAGTTTTGGTCATCGATCAATGAATGCAAAAATAACGAGGAATGGATGGGAGATAATTGTCCACTTTCGTGTGATAAATGTAAAGGTAAAGAAACTCTATAAGAAACTGTTGATCTATTAGGCAATTCTTAAAATAGGTACCTCAATATGCATTGATAAGCACCGATTGTGCACATTTTGGGCGGGTATCAACGAATGTGACACAAATGCTGTATGGATGCTGTCAAATTGTCCATCTGCATGTAAAGCTTGTAAAGGTTTGCGCATTTTCTATGCAGAATATCTTTTGAGTATTGTTTATTTTTTTTCTTTTTGATAGAAATTGAGCTCTATTTAAAGGAGAAACGATTGACGGACGAAGTACGACGAATCACGAATTTACTGAAGAAGAATGCACTTTCATTACAACACATGAGGGTAAATAATATTCGGTTAGCGAGGATGAAATTGCGCCGAGCTGCATTTGACGAGTGTCTGCTAGAAAAACTTCTAGCAGACCCTCGTCAAATGATATCATTAGAAAGAGTAACGAATTCTATACAAAAATCGCATTTAAAACAGAACCCAAACAGCGTCTCAGCTCAATAAAAGGCCATTTTTACACAAAATCTATAAACTTTCATCTAGAGAAAACGGTTTGAAGGAATTTTCCAGAAAATTTGACAACTTATGTAATTGAATGTATTCTATCTTTTTTATGTAGATACTAAAGGAGATTTCTATGGAAGAAATTTTCAAATAATGAGTCGGATTCGTTGCCGCCATTTTGACTAGCTGTGTTTGCGAGTTGAACACTTCATAAACTCCACAAAAGAAAAGCTTTTTGAAATCTCTTAAAAGTGATTTTGTAGAGAAATAGTGGACCCTTTTGGTAAAACAAAAACATGTCTTTAAAGGAGGCTTTATGCGTACAAAAAGTTCGTTTAAACTTCGGCGTCATTTCATTCTCCTCAATCGAATCTGTTGAAATTGAATATTGAAACAATGATACAATGATAAAAATGAGCCAAATTAGATACATCAATGCGAAGAACGATTTCAATAAACGATGTTCGACAATCGAATATGAACTTCGGCTGTGCGCCGGCGTTGAGAGCGACGAATTGTCGACGAAATCTATGCTATCATTTAAAGTTAATAATTGGAAAAAAAATGAATTAAATCAAATAGCAATTCTTCTAGATATCGAACATTTGATGGGACATGTAATAATATTGAGAAACCATTAATGGGCGCCGCTTTTTCGGCTTTGATGCGACTACAGACACCGGCTTATGATAATGGGATTTCGGCGCCTGTTTGTGAGTGCTTTTTGAAGATAATATCTAGTAAATATTATATGAAATAAAATATTCTGAGTTTCAAAAATAAAATTATTAGTAATTTAATGTGCAAAAGTTCAGCTTCATTCACCCGAACACGGCCATCAGCTCGTGAGGCTTCTCGTCTACTTCTAGCCTCTCCTGCACAAGTATTTCTTCTAAATTTTATTACATAAATGAATATCTTTAAGCTAAACACTTAATATGTCAGAAAATCTAATAAAGAAATAGTAAAAAAGCCACAAATTTCAAGTTAACTCATCGTTCAAATGCTCTCCTAATGCAATGGGGTCAATTCATCGCTCATGACATCGCCAAGACAACAATGCTCAATAATCAAGTAATAAAGTTTTTGAATTTCAATTAAGAATTTGAATTTTGAACTTAATTTGAACTTAATTTGAAATTATTTTGATAAAAAAGCGTTTTAGGAATGCGCTCAATGTACCCCGGCTGGAGGAAAATGCTTCTCCGTTTTTCTCTCTCGAACAGATCCAACGTACAATTTTCATTATTTTTTTTTACTATAATTTCATTTATTCTATATACCGTAAATACTGTAATAGTACCCCACCCCCTTCGTACAGTCGCGTAGTCGCAAATGTTTTTTAGTATTTCATTTTTTTTCAAAGCGGCCGTACTTTCAAAAAATTCGTCTTTGGTATCAAAAAATAGCTGAAATTCAGGGGTATTTTTTGATATCTAAGCGCGCATTGTAGCATAAACCAGTGTCGAGAAAAACGCGTCCAAATCTAGACTACGCAACGCTCCGCACCGTCATTATGGGGGTGGGGTGCTATTACAGTATTTACGGTAATTTCTTTGAAATTCCCTTTTTTCTTCCAGCTTTGGTCGTTTCTTATGTCTTCCCGTCGCTCGTTCAACTCCTGTTTGTGGTAGTGGACAAGAAACACCGAGGGAACAATATAATGAAAATACGGCATTCATCGATGGATCTATGGTGAATTTTGATTGAAAACAATTGAAAAAAAAAGTTATTTGTTCCTTTTAGATTTACGGCTCATCTGATCGAGATCAATTTTTGTTTAGACAAGGCGCATTCTTGAAGGTAAAACAGAAAGAAAGAGAAAGAAACAGAAAGATTCTAAAGCTTGCATTTATCTTTAAAACTTGTGAATCTTTTCATACATAAAAGTCTGTAAAATGAAAAATATTTCAAATATTTTCTTTCTTCAATTCAGACTCGTACCGTTCGCTCACGGGTTTTCCCTCCAATCGATTCAAATATGAATGTTGTGGCGGGTGATGATCGAGCGAATATTTTTGTCGGTCTCGCCGCTTTGCACACAATATTTGTTCGGCAGCATAATAGGTTAGTAAGCAAATCAGATAGAATAACTAGAAAATGGTTACAGAGTTGCGAAAATCCTTCAAAAAGTGAATCCGCACTGGGATCAAGAGAGAATTTTCCATGAAACGAGAAAAATTGTCGGCGCAACTTTGCAACAAATCACTTATAAGGTGAGGGAAAATCGAGGCTAAACTCTAGGAATCGAATTTCTCGGATTTTGAGTTACAGCGTCAACTGAATGCGCGAAATTTCAGGAATATCTACCGCGAGTTTTGGGCGAAGAATTCGAGAGATGGATTGGAAATTACGATGGATACAATGTGAGTGCTTTTCTAGAAAAGAAATATTTTTTGAAGCTCTTGATTAATGCGTTTTCTAAAAGACACTTACCGTAAAGACTGTAATAGTACCCCACCCCCATAATGACGGTGCGGAGTGTTGCGTAGTCTAGCTTTGAACGAGTTTTTCTCGACACTGGTTTATGCTACAATGTGCGCTTAGGTAACAAAAAATAGCCCTGAAATTCAGGGCTATTTTTTGATACCAAAGACGCATTTTTTGAAAGTACGGGTGCTTTGAAAAAAATGAAATACTAAAAAACCTTTGCGACTACGCGACTGTACGAAGGGGGTGGGGTACTATTACAGTATTTACGGTATTATTATCGAAAATTCCCATAACCAAACATAGAGTTTTCATTCGATCAACCAAAAAGAATCACAACACATTTATTTATAACCATCATTAGGCCACCATGGCCAACTGGCTAAGAGCCCTGTCTATTAGTCGGAGGTCAAGGGTTCAATCAGTTGAAAAATTCTTGTCTTGTCTTGCCATAGGCTATCCGCTTATCTGTAATTGTTTTTGCTTCAAGCGTTTGCAGAAAAGAACCTGTAAGAGGTCTTTGAAAGCTTCAAAACACTTAAATCTTCATAGAAACAGCTTTGTATGTTTCAGAAAAAAAGCAAAAAAGTTTGGCTGGGAGCGGAATTGAAGCCGCGAGCAAAAATGGCATAGTTTGGTAGACTAGCGCACTATCCCCTAGACTACCGCCACCCTTCGTTCCTTTCCACTTGGTGTCCCCCTATAGGTGAGGTGGCGAATCTAATAGAGCTACCAATCGTCACCATGGCCGACTGGCTAAAATTCTTATATCTTGGTCGGGAGGTCGGGGGTTCAATCCCTCCGGCTAGATTATTCTTTTTCCATGGGTTTTTACTTCCCTAAATTTAGAGGGGTTGTGCTTGTGTATTATTTGTATCACATTATTTTTGTGAATAAATGTATACATTTTTTTATTCAGGAGGATGTCGATTCAGCGGTTGCCAATGAATTCACGTCGTGTGCTTTTCGATTCGGACACGGAATGATTCAGGTGTGGAGTTTTGTTTGCAAACTGCAAACTAGAAACCTCTAAAATGTTTCATTATTTTTCTTCCTTTTTTTCATTTCATTTTTCTAGGAATTTTACCCATTCCTTGATGAGCATTTCCGTCAAATTGGTGGCATTCCGTTCACTGAGGGAATGTTCAAAAGTACTCATATAATCAATAATGGAGTCGATCCACTTCTTCGCGGCTTTCTCACTTTATCCGCTAAAATGCCTCAAAGGTTAATATTTTGTTGGAATTGATTATTATTTCGATTTTTTTTTCAGATTAGCTCTCGGGGTGACTGAGCGTATTTTTGGGAACTCGGATCTTGGATCGATCAATATTCAGGTAAGTTTCGCTCAAGTAATTAACCCAGCAAGATTTGTTTTCAAAGGATTTGTTTTAGGAAAACTTCTGTAAACTTATCTTCTTATAGTTGCCTTATAATTGCAACTAAGAACAAGCTTTTGATTGGTCAAGATCATAAAAATTGTTTAGCGAGGTCGAGACCATGGAGTCCCTCCATTCAGTGCTTGGAGGAAATTTTGTGGGCTAAATGAAATCAAGGTTTGAGTTGTTTGAAAAAATGAGTGACATATCATAAGAATTATCTAGGATTTCGATGATCTCAAAACAACAATCAAAAATCCAGTACTTATCGAAAATTTGAAGCTTCTTTACAAAAACATTGGTAAGATTGAGCAAGAAAAAAAAGAGTGGAATGTATTTTTCTTTTCTAGAAAATATTGATATGTACGTGGGATCATTATTGGAAGATCCAGTCCCGGGAGCGCTTGTTGGTCCGACTTTAGCTTGTGTCATTGGTGAACAATTTAAGAGAAGTCGAGACGGTGATCGGTCAGTGAAAAGGGGAAATCATTTCAATTAAACCGAAAATTCAGTTTCTATTATGAGAATGAGAAAATCTTTACAAAAGATCAGTTGAATCAAATCAAAAAGATGACAATTGCACGAGTGCTTTGCAATGCGGGAGAGCGAATCGATGAGGTGAAAATAGAAAAGAAAAAGCGGTTTACGCAATGAAACTTAATGAAACTTATGATTTTTAAAGCTAAATCAAGTCCGAATCTTTTCAAAACAATAAAATTCTTGACTTTAGAGCTTATTTCCTTAGTTGTTTTCGTTTTCAAATCGTTTTCAAGTGAAAATAGAAAAGAAAAAGCGGTTTACGCAACGAAACTTAATGATTTTTAAAGCTAAATCAAGTCCGAATCTTTTCAAATCAATAAAATTCTTTTCTTTAAAGCTTATTTCTTTAGTTGTTTCCGTTTTCTAATCGTTTTCAATCACGAAATTCATCGAAATCTAGGTTCCGCGGAAATCCTTCGATACTTTCAATCCAACAAAAGATCGATTATCAAAGTAAGACAAAAGAAAAAAAGAAAAGAAAATTAATAAAATAAACCTCTTTAGATGTGATCAAATACCGGATATTGATTACAATGTATGGAAAGAAGAACTTTAAACGCAAATCTTCAATCTTGTTGTTCCAAAATTTCGATTTCGATTTCACTCAAAAGATCTTTGATTTTTTTTATATTTCCTTTGAATCTTTGGGATTTATTTATAACTCTATGACGATTTTAAACACTGTTTTTTTTAGCTTCTTAAGCAATTTAAGCTCAAAAATTAGATTATAGCCAAGTTTCTATGCTTTTTGCAAGCTCTATTCGATTTTCTCTTTTCTTTTGCCTCTCATCGTCTAGTCAATTCTTTTTTTTTCTACTTGTCATTCGTTTTTAGAAGAGTAAAAGTCTCAATCATAATTTGATCTAAAGATGTTTAAGAAGATGAGAATGAACGATGATCATTGAACGATTTTTAGCTTCTTCAGCAATTTAAGCTCAAAAATTAGATTATAGCCAAGTTTAGATGCTTTTTGCAAGCTCTATTCTATTTTCTCATCCAATCCACATATTGATAAATGTGATAAATCATCTTTTCAAACTTTTCTTAGATTTTCTTTGTCAACTTTTTTCTTACTTATTTCCCTTTTTTCAGTATAAAGTATGCATTTTCATTAAATTTTCTCAATAAACCAATCATTTTTATTATACAATCATATATTCACAAAATGAGATTACCAGAAAAAAAGAAAAGAAACGTCGATCGCACAGAAAAACTACAAGAGCATGTCATTTTTTAAGAAGTTTTTTTTTTTGTTTTAAAAAAAATTGATAGAAAATGATAAAAATCTTTGAAAATTTTTAGTTAAATTTAAATTTAAAAATGAGACACTAATGAAAAAGAAAACTGACTAAAAAGAGGAAATTTTGCACACAAATATAAAACAAAATTGCACACATAGCCCCACTGTTTGTATCGTGGTTGTGACCCTCAAAAAAAAACGCTGATCAATAAAAATTTTTTTAAAGAATTTTGAAATCTTTTCTTTTTTGATTTCTTTTTTTTTGATTTCTACTAGATACTAGATAAAGATTTGAAAATTCTTATAAAAAAATTCCTTGATCAAACTCAGATTTCGAGGGTTTCATGAAAGACTTTCGGAGTGAGAAAAAAAAGAAAAAAAGAGAAAAAAAAAATGAGAGGTCATCAAATAGGTCGAATTCATCAAGGAAATAAATAAAATATTGAGTAAAAGGGAATGAAAACGAATCACAAATCATTATACCAAAAGTAAAGAAAGCTTTTTTTAAAAAAGAACAAATATCGGCAGTGATGAATAAAAGAGGATTTAATGAATTGATCAAAACATGAAAGGCATTCAGTGAGACAACGACAAATTGGAAAAAGAATGGAAATTAATGGAAAAATAATGGAAATTAATGGAAATTAATGGAAAAAGAATGGAAATTAATGGAAATTAATGGAAAAAGAATGGAAATGAATGATTGTTAAAGCATGAATCACGAGTACCGTAATTCAAGGAGACAAAGAAATACAAAGAAATGCAAAGAAATGAAAGACTGAAAGACGAGTACGGTAGCCAGAAAAGATAATTCGGTTCCTATATGGGGAATCACCGGCATTTGGGGAATCAAGAAAAAAAAGAGAATATTGAAAGGCTTCAAACAAGAGGTCCATAGATGAAAGAATTAAGGAGAAAAAAAGAAAAAAAAAGGATCACAAAATATGGGCACCGATTAGGAAATAACAGAAAAAAAGGAAATTGACTCAGATTCGCCGTGAAAGTAAAGGAATTCAAAAATCCTAAATGAAAAGTCAGGTAGTGAGAAATGGCAGTGGATTGGGGAGTGAGTGAATGTCATTCGATTGATGAGAGGGGGAAAGCTGAGACCTTTGAATGGGTAAAAGGAGCAACTAATCAGATGAAAGAAGAAGACATTCAGTTGGTGGTTGAGGGGGTGGAGGAGTGGCAAATTGACGCGGATGAGATGAGGGATGAGCTCCGGTCGGCTGAATCACTGATGGACCCGTGGTTGGTGTTGATGGTGTGCTGCGAGCTGACGGAGAAGAGCGACGATGTACTTGATGGAAAGCTGAGACGCGAGAATCGATTGCAAGTGGTGCAGGGGTTGGTAGAGGAGTTGAAGTGATCTAAACAGGGTCAACTTTAGAAGAAATCTTTGAACAAGTCTCCGATTGATTGGTGAATAAATCAAGGTTATATAGGAAATTTTATTTTAATTACCACATATTTTATACCTGATATGGTGTTCCACTGGGTGGAGATGGATTTGGTGGAAGTGGACGTGGCTGAGTCCATCTTGGTGATCGCCGATCAACTGATTGTGGACTTGATGTCCGCGGGGTTTTTGAAGCCGGACCATCAGTAGAAGGATCCTGAAAGTGATCATTTAATTCTCTTTTTCTTTCTTTTCTTTTCCTTACCTGATTGCTAGCGGTTCTTTTTTGCGCCAAACGATTTTTCCATGTTGATTTACATTGTTCTTCCCATCTTCTTGTATGCTCCATTAAAACGGCTCTCGTCAATGGGAGACTTGGCTGTGCAGAGCTGGAAATAGGGATTTTGCTAGATGACTAGTTAAATATCAACTTTTTTATTTTTGTAATTTCTACTTTTTATCAGTATTTGATAAAGTATTGCTAGTGAAATCTGTAGATATCCGTGCCAGTCTCATTGTCAGAAATGAATCGCGAGAGACACATTGGTGAATGACTGTGGGTGGCACGAGAAAGAATGAAAAGAAAATGAGATCCCCGATTTGGATGGGGATATTGAGACGTTGCGCACGTTGAAAGAAAGAGAACAAGGCCATTTCGAGGGGAGTTAGAGGAAAAGGGGATGAGCGACGGGTAAACAACACAAACAATCTCAAAGGTTAACGAAGTTAAGAAGATTTTAACTAATAGATAAGTTAAAGCTATCATTATTGTCAGAACTCCTTTAACTAACCTCAAATTCTCAACAGTTGGTTGTGGTCGTCCAGCATCTTTTGTCTGTTGACTTTTCAAGAGTCGATGCACATTTTCAAGGCAATTGATTTGACTGTACGAGAGACTGAGTGGATCCGTTGATCCAGCGATTCCTAGCATTGGAGTGGAAACAGTCGGAGTTGCCGGAGCCGATGATGAGCTCTCTGGCATCTGAAACAATAAGTTCTCTTTGGGTGATATTTTCTAGGTTCTACTTTACCCTTACTGAATCTTTTAATCGAAAATCATCCCTAATCAAAACCAACCTTATTTTGCGGTGTTGATGACATCAAACCGGCAACAGTTGTTGTTTCGCTGCTTCCATGCACAACAAGACTTTCAACTAATCGATCAATGTAAGCACTCAAATCAGGATACTGTGTTTGCATCAAATTTGGATGATAGGGAAAACCTGAAAAGTGATTCAATTAATTTGAGTTATCTTTTAGCAAGAACAAACCTAACAGCGAGTACGAGGCTCCGGGCATCGAATACAAAGTAGTCATCGCTGATTGAGATTGGCTTTGAATTGGCGCAGTTTGAGAGAATGATTGAGGCACAGCTGGTGGAGAGATTTCGGTAGATGGTGAAGTTTGAAGAGGAGATGAAAGGAAAGCCGCACGATCTCGTGAAGAGGGGACTGGCTGAAAATTAGGAGTTCATAAATGAATGGCTATTGAAAAGTTGTTGTGTATGTTAAGGGGAAAGTAAGAAGAGGTTGAAATTGAAAGATTGAAAGAGATATTGTTTGCGTATGTGTGCATAAATGGGGACATCCCATCTATAGGTATTGCAGGAGATGGATGGAGGGGAGGGGAGGGCAGGGGAGGGGTAGGCGGAAGGAGGAGCCCTTCACCTACCCTCCCCATCCCTGTTCCACCTACATCCTTTCACTCTCCGAGGCGGGTGGTGGAGGCTGGTGCGAGCAGCAATCGCGCACAACCACCAACAAACAGTCGACCTATGTAGAAAAGAAAGAGATCGACTGGGAATCGACGGGAAAAGACATGGGATTCGATAGTTATTAAGAGATATTCAAGAGACAAGAAGTGATGATTGTAAGACAAACAAGAAATGCTAGAAATGCTAGCTCGGCTTTTCTCTTGATCAACTCACTCTATTCATAATCGCTTTCAACTCTTCTTCAAACGTTTTGATGAGTGCAAGTGGTAGAGTGTGTTGTGGTGTTCCTTCAGCTGGTGGACTCATCACATCAGCATCTATAGTATCATTTGACTTCTATTTTTTCCAATTTTTTTTACCTCCAACTGGTGCATCCAATACTCGATGTCTTGCCACAACCATTTCAATTTTTCTTGTCCACGGACTCACATAAGCTGACCATTCTGTATCAACAGTTAAGAGAGCTCCATTGAAAACGACGAGACGAATCGGGGCCACAGATCGAACGACTTTTCCCCGATGATTGTGCACTAAAAACAATTCTTGTATTTTAAATTCTATTTTTTTAAAAAAGCAATTAAATCCTTCAATTAAATAATAAACAAACAATCGATATGTGCTTGTCGAATGACATGTACATCGGGAGCATAAACAAAAGAAAGCAATGACCGTCCAATGACATCAGTCGGCAGGTGACCGATAAATGGAACACTCCTGAAAAAAATGAAAATGAGTTTTCAAGACAAAAAATGAGAAAGAAAAGAAAATGTTTGCCAAAGAATTTGAAACTCACGCGTAATCGATATGTGTAAGGGCACAGCTAAGTGAGTGTTTTGTTGTGAACGCTGATGGAGTACGGGGATTTGATGTGGGACCAAAGGCTGATCTGTAAAATTTATCAAATGAAAATAATCCTATAATAGATTTTCATCTAATATAATTTATGATAGTCTTACTTGAGACAAAGAGCGGTGACACGTGCTCGTCTCGTCCCCTCTGGTCCCTGTTCGAACTCACATTGTAATTCACATGCTCGACTTGATGATCCACTAAAGCAATTGGATTAGGAAAACAAGTTTGTCAATCAATTAGAATCACACAAATATTTTTTTTTTATTGATTAGCATTTGATTAGCATTTTTTACTTAGCATGATTAGAAATTTGTACTCAAAATGATTCAACTTTTCATTTTGAATCAAGAACTTTTGAAATTTTGACAAGAACTAGTATGTTTCTTTTTTCTTAGCATAAAGCGAAGCACTTTATAAGTAAAGTATAAATATAAGAGATTTCTTTTGAGAATTCATGCTGCTTCTAGTTTAATTTTCTAATTGAATAGTCAAAAATAAGAACCCAAACCGGGACTAGCAAAACGAATGAAATGAGCGTGATGAGTGAGGAGAGACTTGGCCACCTCACACACTCTTTTGAGGAGGGGATGGTCGGTACCCGCATGAGCATTGTCGCCTCCTGGTGCGGCCCGTGCACCGTAGATGGCACCCCCAGGCCGTGCTTTCTAGTGAGACCTTCCCCCTGTCTCCTCACCCCGATCCCTCTTCTCGACTCTTCGTCTCTCTCCCTTTTACACTATTTCTCTATCTATCCCCCATTGCACTTCTTTTCTCCCCGTTTCCCTTCTTGTGGGCTAGTAGTCGATGTCAGTGCCTGGAGGAGGATCTGGCTTTGCCCCACATCCTCCTCCTATTTTCGCCATTTGCTTAGCGTATTTCAAAATTAGAAATTCTAGAGTTAAGCGGGAATAATGGAAAAAAAATGGAATGACTTTCTGAAATAAGTAAAAGTAAAAGCAGTTTTGCTGATTTTACAGTTAGATTTGCTCATTGTTTAAGGGTTTTTGTACATTTTGATATTTTAACTACGAAAAGAAATACATTTTGCTTTCCCTTTCTATTCTAAATTTAAAAATAAAGTCAAAGCAAGCAAAAAAAAAAAGCAGTTTTCTATAGCAAAAACGTTGATTTTTGCTTAAATCTTTGTCCAATATTTGTCTTAATTGAAATAAATCGATCATTTCATTGAAAGAAAAGATGATTGTCTATTGTAAGAGAGTTTTATTTTTTGTTATTTCTCTTCTTTCCGATCATGTGCCATTCCCTACACATATTCCTTTATGTGTACTCCAATATTGAAAAGACTTCAATAAGCATTTCTCAAAAGGGGATGGGGTGTGTCGTGGAATTCGCACTCGATTAGCATTGTCTCACTCGGTGCCAGCTTCCCTAGTTTAGTCCCCTTTCACCATTTGACCATTCTCTGCACTCTCCCCTCCGAAACGCGCTCTCTCCATTCTGTTAGATCCCCTGATTTCTCTTTGAGTGACCACTCTCTTCTCCATTTCTTTTCCCCTTCTTTGTCCCCCTCCTCGTATTCGCGCATTTCTCGGTCGCCGAGCCACTCTGTACGCGTCACGACTAGCACCACCAGCCAGAACAGAGGGAACACCCTAATTTATCTCCCCTCTTTTTCCTCTTTTCATTCTTTGTCTCTTTTAAGCCGACTAAAAACATCCCACTTTTTTTCCGGGCCCTCTAAAAAACAAGAGAGTAATTGATGGGGGTGTTGCGAGCGCAATTAAACTCTCAAATTCTTGCACTTTAGTTTCAAGAGAGAAAGAGAAAGAGTGGATTTGGTAGAACGTTTGCGGGTGATTAAATAAATGACTTTACAAGGCGATAAAATGACTGACCATTTCACTCTTGAGAACACTCGTTGTCGAACAGAAGTTGCCGCTGCGGAGAGGAAAAAACTTTGACCCGTGCCAAGCAACAATCGCAAGAAGCACGAACCGACTTCGATATCCTGAAATTGAGATTTGCTTCACTAACAGCTATGTAAACGATCCAGGTTTTTCGTCTAGATTTTAACTTGAGAATTGGTTCAACGTTGTTTTGAGAATTTCTATTATTTCTAAACCTCTTTTGTCATTTAAGCAAGGTGAAATTTCTTAACCCCAAATCAAAACGATGTCAAGTGTTTAAGAAATAGCGAAAGAGAGGTGTGAATGAGCGAAACGTAAAGCCACTATCTAATCTCTATCTTTCTCTCTCACTTTTTCCCTCCTTTTCCAAAAGAAAGCGTTCCAGGCTAGGTGCTAGGGTTAGTTCTTGTTTTTCCGTCTTCAGTAACATGTCACTTTTTGATGTTCACCCCTTTCTCAATACTAGAAGAGGTTTCGGTGCCAGCTGGTGTTGTCTCTCTTTCCTATGCGTCCCAATCATAAAAGATTACCCCCGGGTTGTTGTTGCAAACGCCCTTATCTATCAGTAAACCGCAAAAAGCGGTAGGTCAAACGGTTAAGATGATATTTGATTTATCGAGAAATTGACAACGTTACAAATTTTCACGAGTACAATTTCTGAAAACAAGAGCATTAGAATTGAGTTTAGAATTAGAATTCTTAAACATCCACTCGAGAATTTCCATGAAATCCCTAAATTACTTGGAGAATTTTAGTGGTTTATAATGAAAAGCTACAATTTGAGATCCCTGAGGCGTGTTTTGATCAAATGTCATCATGTCGACTAAAAGAGAAAAAAAATGGATGGTTTGTACGAGGGGAAGGTCCTCAGCCCTTTTAGATCCGATGAAGGGAGAGGGATCGGCCCTATAGGGCACTATATGAGAGGTGAGAGAAAAGAAGAGATCTCTCAATGAAAGCGGCGTTCTCCTCCTCTTTCATTGCACTATTGTTGAGCGGGTGCCATCCCGCGAAAGTCCCATCTCTATCTTCAATCCAAAGATGGACTCACATCTTTTTTAGCCTTTTGACACTCAAGTCTAATTTTCTCACTACGATAATCAAATTTTGAACTTTTAAATACAATAGTTACCTTTAAAGCTTAGCCTTTACATTTAACCTTTGAATAAAGTAGTTTAGCGTAAAGTTATCAGTAATAACTGTTACCTTTGAATCGTAGACGTCGACGAATGTTCGACTATTCAAAATAGTTCCATCGGGAATTGAGACAGTTGTTGTGAAAAGGAGACGATCATCGGGTAAACGGCCACCCGTTGGAGCTTCATCCACCTAAGAGAATTTGTGTAAGTTGACACATTATACTAATAAATATTCGGTTTTATTGTAACATTCAATGATTTGACCAACCGTCGACTCATCACTGCTTTCCGTCCATGTATGTGGTGGAGACAGTGTCGGTGCAGCACCTAAAATATTGTAAATGATCGAATGTTTGATAGAATGATCGAAAATTGCATCTTTAGCTTAGTAGATTAGATTTATAGAATTAATATTGAAATTTTCAAAACTCACCGGGCCCTTCAATTCCCACCGACGACGCCAGCGCGCACGAATCACGCACTATCTGAAATTTGTGTCTTAAATTAACTCATAACGAAAGCATTGCTAAGATTGGATGTACAATATTATTTCAAATTCTAAAATGAATAGTTTATTCTAGGAAACAATGAGTGTTGTCTTGTATAGGCCCGAGTATATGAAAGGGGAGAAACAGAGACACAGGAGTCTCCCCTCGTGTATGGAGGAGTATGAGAGGAGAAGGAAAGAGATGGACAACAGGGAATACACGGGGAAGCTGGGACTGAAGGGGACTGAAGCGTTCGGTCACGCCCCTTCTCTTTCTTCTTTCTTTTCTCTTCACTTCTCATCTCTTTCCCTCTTTGGACATCGTCTCTGATCATGCTGTGGTCAGCTACCCGTTGTTCCTAGCTCTTCTCCACCCTCTCCCTTTTCTCTTTTCAACTTTAGTCGTAACCCTATGCCCTCTTTATGGAAGTCGAAACTCTGGACTGGTACCACCTGAGGCTAGGAACCTTGGTACATTCAAAATGAGATCAAGCTAAAGAGCTAAAATTGTAAACAAAGGGCTTCCTTATATTAATCTGAAAAACTAGAAACCCGGAATCTGACTATTGACTATCCAGATAGAAAAACCCAACTAATGTCGGGTTTTTCTAGCTGGATGTTTTCTGAGCTGAATGACTCAGAGTCGTCAGGGCGTAGTCGGGAGCGCGCTTGTCTACAGCCCTGGTTCGGCTCCCGGAGTGCCACTCAATCTTGTTTTTTATTTTAAATGGCACAACTATAGTCGACGCTCTCTATTACGGAAATTAGATAACGAAATGGAATTTTGGTCCCGGCTATATAAAACGGCACTCTATATAACGGAAAGCTCCATATAACGGAAACATTTTTTGGTCCCTTCCATTTCTTTATAGAGAGAGTTGACTGTATATTATATTTCAAGACTTTTTTAAAAATTTAAGTTTTTTTGGCCCAAAGATGGCTGAGAAAAAGCCCGCCGTACAGACGGACGAACGGACAGACTGGACGGACGGACGAACGGGGACACTGCTCTTTTATATATAGTAGATTTGCTGAGAATTCTATAGCTCTCCCGCTATTTCAAGTTTCCATAAGTTTTAGAAATTAGAGCTCTCTTGAAAGTTCTATAAATAACATCACAAATACAGGGGTTGTCTAGATTGGTCGATTTGGAGAAAAGGCGCAAAAAGAAGAAAAGAAGAAGCAGAAGAAGACAGTTCTAGATGGTAGCCTTCTTCGTCTTGGTACTTCTCTTCTTTCTCTCGCTCACTTCACAGTCTCGATTCATTCCCTAGTGAGGATTCCCATTTCATTCATAGACTCTTCCCTCTTTCCCCCTCAAATTCTCTCTTCTTGATGGTCGTGTTGGGGTGCGATGAACGATCCGAGCAAAAGGGAATGCGTGCTAGGTTCAGTGCTCGTGTCGTACCCCTCCACCCCTCCCTTTCCCCCTTTCCTTCCTTTAGTCCGTCCTTTAGTCCTTCCTTTGTCCCACCCTAGTCCTTCTTCTCTTTGAATCCCCTCGGGGTATCCCTTCCCCCCTTCCCGCAACAGCACAAAGAACCATCCAAAGTGAGACTACCACGAATTCGACCCTCATTTTCTTTCACCTCTTTCCTTTCCGGGTCAAGACTTTTGTAACAAATAAAAGAAATATTTAAGTCAAGAAAAATTCAGCTTCTAGAGATCTTTTGAAAAGAAATATTAGTTTTTTTTTTGGCTGAAACACTTACCAATGAATCGCCTTTTCTTCTCTGTAGATGTTGCATTTTCTTAGAGAAAAGAAGGCTCGAGGATTGAATCCTGAAAATATCAAAACATTAAGTGTTAACACAAAACAACAAATAGAAATGATCTTGAAAAGAATTATACAAAAAAAATGCAAAAGAAGAAGAACGGGTGTTCGCCAAGAAATCAACGTGTGATCTTGGAAATAAAAGAAACGAAAGAAGGCAGGCCGGATGGATTTGGACTGAATAAAAGAAAAGAAATGGGGGAATTCATTGAATGAGAGAGGCTTGATGAAAGAAAATAAAAGAAAATGAAAGAAATGAAGGAGATCAACCCGTCCCGGATTGGGAAAAGAAGAGAAGAACGATCGACTGGATCGGATTGAAATTCGAGAGACATAAAAAGGAAAGATCCGAGCATCAAGTTGCTCAACAACGGTCAGCCAATCTCGACAGCGAAAGAAAGAAAGAAGAATCATCCACAATTTATTGATGGCATCAATTCTGAGACAAAAAAAGAATTTAACAACACATTTTGATTCGAATTTTCTTCAACAAAATGGAATATAATATTTTTTAATTCAAATTCTTATAATAATGAAATTGAACTATTTTAAAATGAAAAGAGTAAAGTAATTTGTGAAAACGAGAAGCGGAAAACTCTATTGTATTGCTCGAAATTCTTTAGATTATAATGCAAATGGTGCGCGTGAAAATGCGGGGACAATCGTCGATTTGTGGAGATGGAAATGAAAGAAATGAAAGAGATGGAGCTCTGCTCTGACCGTGCTATGCTCAGACTCACCCATCCCCCTCCACACAACCACTCTCAGTCTCAAGCAAGGATCTATGAGAAAAGAAAATGGGGAGGGGGAAGCCTGAAAGCACTCCTTTTGAGAGAAGAGAAACAAAAGAGAGAGAGAGAGAGCGCGCAAAAGGGGCAAGAGACACACAAAGTCGGCACGCGCTAGCACGATCCCCTCGAATACCACCCGTAACATATTCACCCATCCACCCCTCCCCCTTTTTCTTTTTCCCTTGAAAGGGGATAACCGGGTCGTACTTGCCGCTTTTCTTCCGGATCCCCCGTAGATATCAAAGCAGATACAAATTCAAACAAAGTAAGTAAGATTTTCTCGGGAGATTGTGGCAAAAATCTCAAGGAAAAAGAATATTTCGAATCTAAGCGGATGAGTATTTAAAAGAACTATCTAATCAAAGTACTTTCGAGTTTTTTTGTCTAGCTAAGAATTGAATGCAAGTTTAACAAATTCTCTTTAAAATGCTACTCTTTTTAGCAATACAATTTTTAGCATTTTGACAAGCAGTCACTATAAAACTTTATCAAAATTATTAGCTATACAAAGCTAAACAATAGATTTTTTAAAAAATAGCTTACCATGGTGATTGTCGGGAAAATGGCAAAACATTGGGTACAGAAGATGATGTTTCGTGACCCATCTCTTCGTTGTCGTCTTATAGGAGGCTTTGTTTCACCCCTTCCACCCCTCTCTGTCGACACCGACGAGACACAAATCAAAGAAAGAAGAAAAAAAAGACTATTTCTATTTCTAGAAAAGCCGCACAAAGATTCCCTTATTTCCAGAGCCTTTTTTGGACCCCTCCCCCCTCAATCATCACCCAAAATTAGCAACAATGCTAATTTATCAGCAACAGGGAGCTCTTGAAATTTTTGAAATAATTGTTAATGTTTTGATGGAACATTTTAGCAAGATTAATGGATCAATGTTTTGATTTAAAAGCTTACAAAAAGCTTGTTGAAAACATCGGAAATACCTCATCGTTTTTACTTCGAAAAACAACAAATTGACTTTATCAGAAAACAAAATATCTATGAGTGAAAAGTTAGCAACGTTTAGGCAATAGATCAAAAACTAGTTCATCTAAACAAATAGAAAGGATCAAGGAGAAAGAAGGGGATGTAAGATTGAGAAGGGACCACTGATGGTCACTTCGAACTCGAGAAGAGAAGGGGAGACGAGTGTGAGTGACCACAGAGCGGCTGGCATCAATTCAAAGAGGGGGAAAGAGGGAAAAGAGTGGTAAAGGGGAAAGAAAATCGAGAAGGGGAAGAGAACCGGCTCTCTGCAACAACGGTGAAGAGAGAATGTGACATAGAAGAGGGGAAATGGGGGAAAGGAAAGAGAAAAGAGAAGAGAAGCGGTGCCTAGCACGGGGGAGGGGAAGGCGAACACCCCAACTAACCCTTTTCTCTTCTCTTTGGTCGAGCCTAGGCTGTGCACTGGATGGGGTCGTGTACCCCCGGGAGGAGCTGCCCCATCCCCTTCCACCACCATCCCCTCACACCCCGTTGACTGGCACAACCCAGGTCGGTCATCCCGGAAAAGAGAATCAAACAAATTGATGATCTCGAAACGAGGAGCTCGACGTGTGTGGGATGTTTAGCTGATTTTTCAGTGCTGATTAAAGTAGCTGATTAAAAAAATTCAGTGCCGAGGATTGTCCCAATTTCGTTTGTTCACAATAACTTACAACACAACACAATAACTCAGTCACAATAACTTGTAACTTTATGTGGTTATGTGCAAACTCAAGACCAATACTCGTTTTTCAATAAGTTTCTCGATTTCTCAAAAAGAAATCCAATAAAATCGTCCATTTCTCCACTTTTTTAGATCTCAATCCCCAATTTTCTCTCAAGTAATGTGTTGTAAACGAGCGTAAAAAACGCCTCTCGACAATCAAGAAAAAGAGGCCTTGATTTGTACAAAAAAATGTTGGGGAATCAGTTTGAAAAACCGACGTTTCTTTTCTCATTTTTGTTTCTCAAAAACAAGAACCATTAAAAGTTTTATTGAAAATCCTGCAACAATTCGAGTTTTACAAAAAAAAAAAACTTTACTTCTCACAACGCAGCTATAGATCGATTCGTATAGTATTGGGGGGAAAAAAAACAAAGAATTTTCACTTGTAATCGATTTCTTTCACCAGACAGACAACACTCATTGAGTCGTTTCGTGTATTTTTAGACAAGTCGTCCTAACCATGGCACGTACCCCCTCTGCCCCTCTTCCTTCCATTTTTTTGCACCCCATTTCTCACATTCCCCCCAACTCACCCTCATTTATTCAATGATCAAAGAAACTATTCTATTCATTTCAAATTCACATCACAAAAAAAGCCCTACAGTATCCGAAAATTTCTCTACCACTAACGTAGCCCTTCCATCGACCAAAACTAGACGTCTGCCCCCTTGGTGGGAAAAAAAGAAAAGTCTTTGTTTCAATTCCGGGTCTCATCCTCTCAAAACACAAGCATTTCAATGAAAAATTCAAATCTGAAAACTCTGAAGTTTGAATGTTAAAGAGGCAAAAAAAACGAGTTTCGGGGAATTCCAGTTTTTGCCTCTTTTTTGATCGAATCTTTTATTGACACGGTCCGAATTTGGGCGCGAGTTTTGACAAAAATTTGATGAAGATTCCAGGATGTGAAACTAAGTTGCTACTATAAATCAATAAGTGTTGATTTCAAATCAAGCTAATATTTTTCCTTTGACCCAGATGCCTATTTTTGACTTGACTGCCTAGGTTCAGTGCTCTGCTGTTCAGTGCAAATATTTTTCCTTTGACCCTGACTGTGGGTGGTCTTACGGCTCTCGCTCAACCCAATCACTTTTGCTTTGCCAATCTTTTTTTTTGTCCTTGGTGAAGCCCCGTGCCCAGTTACAATCAAAAGTCTTTTTCAGATCTGAAAAGGGACACAATTTATCTCGTCGATCAAAAAAAAAAGAGACTGAGAGTTAGAAAGAAGAGAAGATGGGCGAATACGAATGAAACTAGAGGAATTTTTTTTCTTTTCTAGACTGACCGGCGATAAAAAGTCGACTAAAAACCGCACATAAAAACGCCTGGAAAAAAAAAGGAAAAGGGGGATTTGTGCTAGGAACCACAGCAACGGTTTTTTCGGTTGAAAAGATTGCCCTTTTGAGGCGCAGAGACAGATACACAATGATCATTTGGAAGAGAAAATGATGGAGTGGAGAAGCGGAAGCTGAAAACAATAAATGCTGTTAATTTAAAGTTAAGAAAGGAATTTCGATCAATTTTTAGCAAAAAATCCTTTGATTCTACATTTGGTAGTTAAAAGCAGCATTCGCCAATCAAAAATTAATCCATTTTCTAAAAGGTGTTTATTTTTGAAAACTACCATAATCTTGTCTCTGTTTTAGCAATAAGGCCTAAAAATATGGCAAGGTTACGGTAGTTTTTGAACATTTCTACATTCTACATTTTGTTTTGAACACACTCTGAATTGAAGTTTCGATCTGCAAAGTTAAGTACTTTTAAGATGTTTTAATCGTTAACTTTAAACCTCATAGTCAGTCCGCTCCCATTTGTAAGCTTATCATTAGCGATTTATTACACTTTTTCGATCCAACTTAACGCTTTATACTACTCGAACACTCATTGATTCAAAAAATGTATTCAAAAACGAGCACTTTTTTTGATTCCCTTGGGGTGAAAAAGGATGATCTATTCACCCCATTCTCAGAGTGGCACCAAAGTGCACATTCAGGACATTTTTTACGAGAGAACACCTCGTCTTCTCTTCAGGTGCCATTTTTTTTGCACCAAATCCTCGTCGGTTTTTTCTCTTGTCGGCCTACTAATCATTCTTTTGAAAAAACTTTCCCGACAAAAAATGCCATAAAAACGCTTGAGAGATCGTAATGCCATGGGTTTTTTTTTGAGATTGGTGCCCGGTCGTGGTTGAATGACCCCAAAAGTGCAAATCGAGGACACCACTTTTACGGGAATTCTTTTTTGGAAAGGTTCTTCAAACATTTGCGTTGATTAATCGTGCTAATGGATCTCGAATATTTTGCTGCCGATAAAACCAAATGCTAAAAGATTTGTGAACACAAAAGTGCAGCCATTTGCATAGTCTCTTAAAAAGTGTCTAGCTAAACGAATTTTAAATTAGTTTATCGGATAAAAGAATAGAAAGCTCTAATCGGTGTCTCACTGGATAAATATTTGTAGTGTTTGTATCAGAATTCAGAATGGGTAACAAACTCTTTATTATAGGCGACAAATGAATTGTGATTTGTTTCTTTCCATCATTTTCTATCGTCCTCTTCCCCTTGTTGTTCCTCCTCTTGCACCTCTTCCCCCGCCTCGTCCACCTCGTCCACCTCTTCCACGACCTCGACCACCTCGCCCTCTTGTTGTTGAAAGCCTGCAACAAGACATATATTTATTAAAACTCCGTTCAAGTTTATTAATTTGATCATGTTGCTTTTTTTCTTACCTTTGTTGTTGATCTGACGTAATGTAAGCGTGATTGAGATTGATTAAACTCTTCACCGATTCCTCGCAAAAAGGACATCCTGTCCACGTTGTGGCTCCATCCGGAAGAGGACTTTTCTCCTAAGGAATTGATTTTTTTAGGAGAACCAAGGCTGTAAATCGAATACAAAATTTAAGAATTAGAATTAGGTATAAGAATTTCTTACGTGAGTAAACTAACCTTATTGTATTCAACATTAAGCATTTGAGCTGAACATCCATCGCATTCTTTCTCCGTCACACGAACCTTTGATGCACTGTCAAAAAGGCCGACAACAGAAGGACACTGAACTTTGTGTATTATATCAAATATGAGATATCTAGTTATGATGTACTTTATATACCTTGTTGCATTGAAGCCGCCATTTTGGATGCGATTGTGGGTCGAGCATCAAGACACCATTACAATTCTCTTGTACACAACCACAAACACCTTGTGTCCTGAATTGTTTGTGGTAAACATGTGTTGGATGTATCAATGTTCAACTTACATGAAAGAATTCGTGCATGAAGGATGAGGACAATGATCACATCCTTTTCCTTGTCCCATCTCTGGAAATGGCGGCTCATTGTAGCAACATGGACATAGGGCAAATGATCGAGCCAACTTTCCACCAGAACCTGAATTACAAATTACAAAAGATTACATGACAAAATTAATCCACCTTGCCAATAGACTAGATCGAAATCGTCTAATGGGCATTTCTTGTCCCCGTGAAGTCTAATTTGACCATCTTTGAAAGAAGGAAGGTTGTAAGTCTCCTGAGAATTTAAGTTCAATCGACAAAAGTGGCAATAATCCTACCTGACAATTTGGACAATATAAGCGGATTGGTCGACTTTCCACTAGTTTCATATATCTTCGACATTTTCCGCATTTACTAAATGGTTTCCCGGCAGCCGCAAGAGTCGTAAATGAAGCTGAAATAGATTCATTGATAAATGAAGCAAAAATTCGATAAGTTACCCTCAAAAAGCGTGTCAACCGTCGCTATATTTTGCACAAAGAAGACAAACTTCTGTCTGAACATTTCTAACGCGTGATTCTTTACCTGAAATGAAGCAATAGTTAATGACCTGCCATTCGTTTTCACTTACAGCATAGTAATCGGCTTCGCCTTTTGCAATGAGAGTCAGTTGTTTCTCAACTTCGGATCTCATTGTTGGAAGCACAAGCTCGCTGTCGATTTTCCAATATCCGTGAATCAATGAAATTCCAAGTGGAGTTGGGATAAGGCGTCGGCCTGATTCTACCTGAAATTTACTAGAAAAAGTTCTTAATATAGCTTTTTACCGTCACATAATTGCGCTGACAAATTGTGTTGATATGCACAGGAATTGAAGCATCTGTACCAATGCCATGTTTTTCCATCAAAGTAATCAGCTCAGATTCAGTCAAATATGATGGTGGTGATGTTTCTCGAGCAACCAATTGAGCATCTCTAAATAGCATATAAGATCTCTTTGTCCATTTTTTTGTATTACTTCAACTCCAACGTATCGCCTTTCTTCAAATTTGGGGCTCTCGAGTCTTCATCGTCAACTGACAGCCAAGCCATTACCTAATGAATTATTGCTTTAAAACATCAAAATATTCAAAGTTACTTCTGAAAACCCGGGATCAACTGTTGTTCTTCCGACGAGTTGAAACTCCTCTTTTCCAACTGCCAGTCTGAAATTTTACGTTTGTGTCAAAACTAATTTGTAACAAACTTGATAGTGGTGACTTCATAAATACAAGGACCCATTAAAGTTGCAATGAAATGCTGCGTGATGTACTCGTAGATTCTCAGCATGTCTATAACTATTGAACTTTCAAGTTAAAATTCGAGAGTCACCTCCAGACAAATTGCCTCGTGGTCTCATTGGGGTAATCGGCGGATGGTCGCCTTTATCATCGCCGCCTCGCGGTCGTTTTATGCCTTCGTTGAGTATCTAAGAATGCACACAATATTGTAATTCATAAGTATCAGCAAATATAAATAAGTTTGCTAATAAATACCCGTGCCACAACAGCTCCCCATTTGCTGTCGCCAGATTGTTGCGATAAAGGTCCCTTCAAATCAAAATTGGTCGGGTACGACGTGGTTTCCGTTCTCGGATACGAAATGTAGCCCTAAATTTTTTTTTGTTTCATTATAAATATTTAATCGTACTTGTGTATAAAGATGTTCGGCAGTGCTCATCGTATGTGATGGTCCCATTCCCAAAGCACTTGAAGCCACTCGAAGCAATTCCACCGTATTTAGAGCCTCAAATTTTGTCAATTTAATTGGACTAACTTTTTCAAACTTGAGGTTTTTCTTTTCTTGATTCCTTTTTCGAGATTTCTATCACGATTGCCTTCCCGGTTTTCTAAAATTTTTTTATTGGGGCAATACAATAAAAAATATTAACCTTTACTCGTTCACAAAATAGTTGTGCTACTTCTCGATCGAAAATTCTGCCTCGATTCCATTCTGGCCGAATATCACCGCTACCATTCAACGGCAAAAATGCTGTTTGTAAAACCTAAATTACAGTCGTTACAGTTCTTTTTTATTCAAGTATACCCAGTATTGCTCGGGTTTGAACTGTGTGATTTGATCATGTCTTGTCACACAAAAAGCCAATGTCGGTGTTTGGCAAGGTCCAAATGAAATACAACTGCTATCTAGGTCGCCATATTTGCCCTAAATAAGCACAAGTGTTTTTCCGAAAAGTTTTACTTACGTGAAAATACTTTGTCTGAAAGCGTGTAAATGAGCAACCGATGCGCAAATCCAATTCTTGACGAGCATCAACCTTTAAATGGTTTTGTTTGAAAGTAGAAGATTCGAAAGCTTACAGATAATGATTGATTCAAATCCGGGCGTCCCAAATTATTCATCGCCGCTTTGATGTCCTTGTCTGTGATTGCCGAGAAATGAGCTCTGAAATTGTTAGATAAGATATGGATAGAGCTTTTGCGGTCACCGATAAACATTATCCATAACATCACCTCGGCCGTTTACTTTCATGTTACTTTTTACGGCATCGATAACCTCAATTTATAGACATTAGTAATATTAAAGTTGCAAACACTTCAAAACAAATATTTTCGCCTTCTTTATCGCAATCCAGCCACAGCACAAGGTAGTCGACTCCTTTCGCTTCCGAGGCAAGATACTAAAGATAACTTTTAAGTTTATACTTTCAGCTTTCTAAATTCCAACAAACATTTGGCATTTTCATAGCCGGATTCGCCTCGTTTTTTTGAATTGGTGCCGAGTAGAGATCGGCCGGATCGGTGCGATCCCAATTGTTGAATTTTGGAGGAAAATCGACGCTCATCACGTGTCCGCATGTTGATGTCACCTGTGAGTAAATATAAAGAATAAAGTATAGAATGATACGAACTTTAATGCGAGCATCTTGATTTTGAAATCGACCCGAATATTCGCTCACCGAACAAACGTTGTTCCACCCTAAAATCGTTTCATTTTTTCTTTGAGAAGTTGGTACGTCAAAGGAAATTTTTATCCAATCAAACATCTCTGGAAATCTTTTTCCGAACCGTTAATGATAAAATCTTTAGGTTTCAAATTATAGATAAATTCCAGAAATTGTCGTTACCTTTTCTTTTTGAGGCTTTTCCATTTGAGAGAATTTGCGCGATCGAATCGGCCAACATCGGCTTTTCAGCCACCATCAATACGGTGACCGTCATCTGAAAGTGATTGAAAGAATTTCTAGATTTAAAAGTGGTAAATGCAGCACAACCAAACTACGATTTAACGATTCGCTTGAAATCGTTAAATCGAATAAATCGTTTAGTCGAATATCGTTAAATCAAAGCAAAACTATGAAGGTGTTGCAAGCAAATCGTTAAATCGAATCATTTTGACAAATTTATCAATAAAAAGAACTCATAAAAACGGAGCTATCAGAAAAACACTAAAGTCTAACAAAAAATCAGCTAAAGAAGTTTGCCTATTAGCAGACAAAGACAGTTTGTGTGTAAAAAACATCCATAACCAAAAGAGCATTAACAACTTTTGCATCAGCTTTCTGTTTGACGTAGCTTCGAAACACTTGAAAATTACGGTATGCATCTTCACGAGAAATCGGCTTAACAATCTCGGCTACTTCTTCGTCTTCGTTTTCCGATGAGGATAAGCTATTCGATCGATTCGCAAGAGCTGCCAGCTCTTCCAAAGTTTGTAAACCAATTGTTGCAACATTTTTATCAACTAAAACATAATCGTTTCCCTCTGTGCAAGAATCGTAGAAATAATTGATTGCGATAGCTCGAAATGCATCGGCAACTCCTTTGGTTCTTTCGAAGTCGATAGAGAGATGATTTCCTTTTTCAAAGCCAAACCGATTCGTCTTCGCTTCATTTTTCCTCGTTCCATCACCTAAAATAAGAAAACTATTAAAGAAATCGACAAGAAATAAAGCAAAAACAAAAACACTTAGAGGTAGCTTCTCGTGTCAAAATTTTGCTCAGGTTTTTGTAAATATTTTCTGATTTCAATATAAATCTGCTGCATTTCTAGCTGAAAATCGAAAATCAAATGCACATTTCGCATCGCTAAATCGAGAGTTGACTGTATATAAAGCAAGCAAATTTATATGAAACATATCGCGGACAATTTAAATGCATTAGGTAAGTGAAATATCGGTGTGCAAAGGAAAGTTTTGTAAGTTTGTCTGTCAAAAAGTCGGCAATTTGTCGAGGCATACTCCAGAACATAAAATCGTGCACTGTTTTGAAAAAATAATTGAACTCAAAATGAATTAATCTCGGAAAATCTAACAGAAAAAGCTTTATTTACAGAAATCTCAAAAGAGTGTCACATTTCCGAGAACACTTTCTTCTCGATTTTCATTTTCCGCTGGTTTCAATTCAAGAAAGAAAGCCAAACAAGTCATCATAATCGAAATTGTCTAAAATATCCTTTTTTTGGAAAACTTTTTACTTTTTTCTTTACTGTAAGTATGAGAGGCTTAGTGACCATAGCGAATCCCCAAAGTGAAATACCGAGATCGGCTTGATCGAGATGCATAACAAGAGTATGAGCAATCTAGATTCTACAAGGTGATCCAAAAGTTCCTGCACAACTTTTTATTAAAACTTGATTTTAAAATGACTGAGAAAAGCGATTCAACTAAACTTTTTTTTAAAATGAAAACCTTAATACAATTATACTTAAAACCACTATTAAGGAGCTTATAGCTTGTCATAGCTTTTTTATATCATTGACTCTTTGAGCTCTGGTCAAGTGGTCGACGGCACGCTGCCAAAATCGACCTTACTTTTCAATTTTTTTAGTCATGCGTGTAGTTTAGACTAATTCCAAATAAAGCTTTTAAGCTTTTAATGTTTATCTTTATGCTAAAAACATAGAAAAACAGAAAATAATTTTAAAAGCGTTTAGGCTAACATTTATTTGGATAGAAACTCTCTTGTATCATAGGCAGCAAATTTTGGTGTTTTTTTTACTTTTATCGAAAAAAGCATTCTTTAGAAAGCCGCAGAAAGGGTGCCCACTACCAAGTTTAGTTTATTTTAATTGGAAAAAAATTTAAAGCTTAAAATCGAAGTAAATTGTTCCATTTCAGCGGTGCTAAGGATCTGTATAAATATTGAAAGTTGATTCATTTCGGCAACGTACCGTTGACCACTTCTCCGCAACTCAAAGAGTCAATGGTATAAAAAAAAGCTAAAGCTGCAAGCTCCTTATTAGTGGTTTTAAGCATAATTTTATTAAGCTTTTCATTTTTAAAAAGTTTAGCTGAATAGCTTTCCTCAGTCATTTTAAAATGAATTTTCAGTAAAAAGTTGTGCAGGAACTTTTGGATCACCCTGTAGAATTTTGAAAAATATATTTAAATTCTAGATTCCATAATCGTTTTCAATTCTTTTAATATTTCTTACTTTATTTCACACTTACCAAATTTCTATCATTTTTTTTTGCTCAAACCTTGTTCACTTTTTTGTCATACGGAACCCATACATGATTGTTCATACAAAGAGTCGATTTCGACTTGTTTAACTGAAATGATAGCTCGTTGGTGTCAGTTTTCCTTATATTACTTCTTCATGAAGTCTTGCCGGAGTGATCATTGTTCCATAATAGCTGTAGATACAAAAAGCGACACAAGGAATGCTCAAATCAATATCGTTTTTAATTCTTCAATGCAGCTTTTCTTTTTCTTCTTAAAATACCTCAAGAATACTCCCATTGATGAGTTCCTTGTGAGAACCATCACCAAAGTGAGAAGTGTTGTCGGGATAACTGTGGCGATCATCAAAAACGCGTAAATCTAGAGGAAGGGATTTCTTCTCTCAAAACATTTTCTCCTATTCAAACCTTGAAAATTTCATCGACAGATCGAACGGATTTATTTAATCCCGTGTGTACACCAATCAATAATTGAAGTTCTTCTGACATTTCTTCACTGCTTGACGCTCGAAGCTGAAATTTTTCCTTTCCATTTCCTCAATTGTATATTTTAGCCAAACCTTTCTTAATTTCCAATTAAACTTTTTGACTTCCCAATACATTGCATTCGATAAACAAGTGTAAATATGAAGAGCTAGATTTCTATGAACTAATGAAGAAAATGAATTTCACAATTTCAATTTCAAAAGAATATTTCACCGATATTCCAAACAGTGCAATTGAAGGTCCCTTGAATCATTCGAATGTAACGAAGATTTGGAAAGTAAAATGCCTGAATTGATTGAAAGTTTCAAAGACAAAGGCTAGAAATTTCGATGATTGCATACAAGTCTTGTAATCTTTTTTTTTTGTTAAGTTTTACTAAAAAACTAAACTGACATAAAGATAATGATGGCTCATCATTTGATCTGTCCATCGGAAAAACGAAGCCATTGCATAAGTGAATCCGGTCAATAAAACGTAGGTCTCGACAATGCGAAAACGACGAGAATTCCGCTTTGCTGCATGATCTCGAGCCTGAAATTATTGTGCCTAGGAATTTGGGAACTTTTAAAAATTAGTTAATACACAAAACCTCATCAAACACATCGATATCGGTGATTTTCGAGTGTCGATAGACATGGAAAAAGCGCTCGAAGCAAAGATCCCTTTGCCAATAGTTTAGAAATAACTTAATTTGCATCTTTGAAAACATAGAAATAGAACATTATATAATACTTTTTGATGTATTATGCATTTTGATGTATATGCAATTAAATCACCTGTGCAATCACCGCTTGTAACATCCAAACAGCTGATACAAGAGTGGCTGGAGCTGATTTCTTATCGGATAACTTTAATAAGTAATAGATATCGAATAGTGTTGTGTAAATAGCTAAAGAAGATTGCAAAGAATTTCTTTTCAAATAATTACCTAAAGATACGGTAATGAATTGCCATAAAAGGCGTCCAATTGTTATTTTACATCCAGATATCGGATCAAAACGGAGTCCCATCAAACGAAGAACCTTCGAAAGTTTATTCTTCAAAATATCATACATTTTATATCAAATTATTTTCGTATTACATATATTTTCGTGAATTTTCCCCTCACCTTGTCAAAAAACGCAAATTGCTCACAAATCTTATCATTTTTCTCTTGACAATCCAATAAATAACATCCATCTTCAGCGAAAAGTTTAGCATTGATTCCTCTTGCGGGAATTGGACAAACATCCACCATTAATGTTGGATCGTTTGCCTGAAATCTATAATTTTAACAATATCTTCTTTTATTTTACCTTTTCATACGATGTTCGTCGCATTTTTTTCTCCACATCAATCTCGGGCATTTGTTTCGATTTACGAGTTTACTTTAAGAAAATTTAGAAAAAAAAGAATTGCCTTTTTTTCTTTGAATGCAAAAGAAATTCGATCTCTAAATGTCCCCTTCACAGGGATTTGAAACTTCCGATTTATTTGAACCAAAAACGATTCGCAAGGGGAATGGGAAAGAAACGAAATACTGAGGAAATTCTGAAGAAATTTTAAACTGAGATTTGACGCTTAAATGCTGAATGTTCCCCAAGGGAGAACACTGAAAACCACCTGAAATTGGATGGAGAAGTGGATGAGGAATTGGCTGTGAAATGGATGAGAAGGAGAAGAGCCATTCTTTTCCGCTCTCACACCAATATTGCCCATTCAGAACATTTTTTTCTTTCTTTGACTCTTCATGGGCAAATGAGACCACTTGAAACAAGTCATTGTTTTTGTTCTTCTAAAAGAAACAATAACTCGCATTGGTTAAAATATAAAACTTACTATTTAATGGGTATTTACAAAGCCACAAGTTGTCATTGTCAGAGCTAAAGCCACAAAAATTTTCACCCATATTATACAAGCATCTTTGGCTTTTTATCTGCTTGAGATTTGGGCTTGCAATAGTTTAAAACTTGCTTCGAGATAACAGTTTAATTGAAAAGTCTTTTCAGAAAAATCAGGAAGAACACTCCATACTTCATAATCCTGATATGAAAACCTTCAAAGTTTTGCAATCAAAGAAAAGGTAGCGTTTGTTTTAAGAGTTTAATAATTAAATCTTGAAAGCTACCTTTTCTTTGATTCAAGATTTAATTATTAAACTGAAAACACTACCTTTTCTTGCAAAAAGACCGGAATTGAGCTTTCACAACGAACAACAAATATGTCCTTGCCTTCTTCCACTTTCCACTTGTTAAACTGTATCCAGTCATATCAAAAATCGACTTCTGAAATCCCATCCGATTTCTTTCAATGATTGAATAAATTTTTATGAGTCAAATCGTTTGATTTTGAGGCAAAACATGTTCTCGATTTGGTGAGGAGAAAGGTCGACCTATTTGAGAAAGAAGATCAAAAAGGAGATGCGAAAGGATTCCCATCAAAGAAAGACCATCTGAAAGAAAAGAAAGGGATGGGGACAGCAGATGACAGTTATCCTCTCTTCCTTTCTTTCCTCCTCTTCTTTTCATCCAATCCTCGAACTGTTTCTCTTCCATGAAAGGATCTAGAATCTATCAACTCTTGTCTTTCTTTTCTCTTTTCTTTCATCATCGAACACCCACTTGATCCCCTTTTCTTTTTTCCACCACCGGTCTAGATCTCTCCACCAACACGCGACGGGAAACCTCCATTAATGGTGAATCGTGTCTTGATAAATGGAAAGGTTTCTTCGTTTCTTTGTTCCTACCTATGAGACTTTCTATATTTTTACATATTTCTTCAAAAATTTCTCAGTCGTCATTGAACATAGAGCAAGATATTTGAATTGAATGTAAAGAATTGATTTGGTTTGGTTTTCATTGGTTTTACTCATCCCGTGAATTCATTGTAACCAGTCTTGACTTCAACTTCTGAATGCCTTGTGAGGAGTGTAGTAGGGTGTATGTGAATAGTGAAAGAAATTCGAGCCGTATCCCTTTTCGTCGTAGTGTCCCTTCGCCCCTCGATTTCCCACTCTTCCAATGGGTGTCTCTGTGTATGTTTGAAGGCTTCTCGTGCATGATTTCCCTTTCTCTTTCTCTAATTTCCTCTTTTCTTTGTCTATACATGTGTACAAACATTCATTTCCACTTTTCTCCACTACATAGAGCTCAATTGTTCAAAGAAACCTCGATCAACATTTCCACTTTACACGATTTCCCGAAATGGATTTACCTCTTATTCTATTCTCATATTTACTGTATTTTCCGTAATAGTAGTGCGCACTACTATTTTTTCAACCCCCTCCAGCCTGCACTACTATTACAGACTGCACTACTACTATAGACTGCATTACTATTACAGAAAATACGGTATTAGCTTTATTTTATAAATGTTTTTGATTATATCCACAAAAATCAACCACTAAAGCCTTTTTTAATTTTTAAAATATAGTTTACCAAAAGTATTTCAAGTCATAGTATCCGCATGATAAAGGAATACTTCTGGAATATTGAAGCATTGTATCTATTTTCTGTAATTTCTGGCAAGACGCTGAGTTTATTGACCAAAAGAGTTTCATTTTGAACGGGAAATGTCTTGATAAGAGTCTTCTTCTTTTGAGTCTTTTCAAAGATGAAGAGTGAATTCACAGGGATGTCTCATCTTCTCTTTTTCTCTTTCCTCATCCCACCCCCTTCCGCGTCTTTTCCTTTTTATTCTTATTCTAGTTGTCTCTTTTGATGAATCATGAACGCTTCTTATGGATTTGATGTGACACATCTCATTTCTTCTCATTCCTCTCTTCACATCACCTAAAAATTCCATAATCGTAGCACATCTTTCTTGATACACTTTAGGCTTTTCAATCAAATTTTTTATTTTATAGTTCGAGCATTTACTAGGCTATTTTTGTGCATTGTGATACTTCCATTTTTCCCCAAATTTGTGATAGTTTCATATTTTCCGACTTTTTTTTTGCTCTTCCTATACCAAACTATTCATTTTATGTAGAAGATGTAGATTTTTAGCGAAAAGTGTTTTTATCTATGGAAAACATTTCCAAACAAAATGCATTTTGGCACTTCTAAACAAAAAGTGCATGTAATGGGAATCCCGAAGATGGAAAAAAAAAGAGAAAAGAAGCCTATCTTTTGACTCTTTTCCTTCTTTCTGTCATTTCCATAGAGTGAGCCCAGAATCGATCGTTTCTCTTGGAGAAAAGAATGGAGAAAAGACGAGAAGGAAAAGATTCAAAAAATGAGTAGATATAAGGAGAATTTAGAGAAAAGGAAATAGATAGAGGTGAGGGTATTTGTTCAGAAAAAGAGATGAGAAGAGAAGAGAGAAAGTTTTGTGTGGAACGGACAATGTGCAGGAATGGGGAAAGGGTGGAAGGGAAGGAGGGGAGGAAAGGAGGGAGGCCTCCCAGAGACGCCGCACGCCTCACCCTTCTCTCATCCAAGGAATACCCCTTTCCTTACCCATTTTCTATCCATAAACTAGACACAGTCACATATTACATGATTCTTTTTTCTTTATATTTATAACTCTTGATTTTTCTTTGCTTCTAAGAGCTCGACACTGATTTTATTGGCTCTCATTTTTGCAGACAAGTTTCAATACAAAGTAAAAAAGAGAAATTTTGCTTGATTTTACAATAAACACATTCTATTTATTTTATTTTATTTTATTTTGCAATATTTTAGCTCTAATGGAGCCTAATCAAAAATTTTTGATTGTAAGAATACGTTAGATTCACCGGAAATGTATGAATCACCCCTCTTCGGCTGGCATTGTTCGTTCTTCGTCTTTGAAAATTTTTGCCTCACCATTTCTTAATTATTTTCTCTTATTTTCGCTTAATTAGCTTCTAAGGAATGAATGTTGATTGACTTTAAGCCATTGTTTCCAAAGCGCTTTCCCGCTTTCCTCGTCCATGTTTTGTGAAGCCAATTTTGAGCCACTTTGGTCTCGTAAAGACGATAGTTGGCCATTTTGTATCAAAGCCAAAGTTCTTAACATTATAAATTATTACTTTATCTTGGCGTTTCATCAAAACTATTTCCTATTTAAATTAACGAATTTCTCAATTCTTGTTCAATTATCATCTTCTTTTTTTTCCTCGATTCCCTTCATGTTTCGACCGTTGTTTTGTCAATTGTTGTCAATTGTTTTGTTTTGTCGTTTGTCAATCTCTTCTTTCACTCTTTCTTTTTTCTTTCTTTTATACAAATGGGCATCTGGAGGACCCATTTAGACATTTGTCTTCCACGAAAAGAGAAAAGAAAAAGAGACCCATAAAATCGGTTGTTTCTTTTCTTTTTCCTTTTCATTCAATTCAACGTCGAGACTTGAGATTTCCTCTCCTTTCACTTCACTAGATACGACCTCTTTTTAAAAAAACTATTTAGTTTAATCTTTTAATTGATCTGAATTGAGTAACAAAATCTTGAATTGCCTATTTTTTTGTTAGAGACATCACTGCTTGTGTTTATTTTTTTTTTTGATTTTACCACAACACTTGTGCTTCTTAAAAACCTTTTCGATTGTCTTTTTGATGGAAAATTTTTCTCGATCAATTGAATATCCTTTTTCTTTTTTGGTAGCAGTTGAATATCCTTTTTTTGGTAGCAAGCTCAACCAGTGGGTTTTATCCATCCATCCTCCTTTCCATCCTTCTTTTTTTTTCTTTTTTCCTTTTTCTGTGTGAATGACTAGTGTTGACGGATTTTCCGGATTAACGCTTTTCTGAATGCACTCGCACACAAAATTTTCCCTGAAAAACTCATTTTCACTGTCACTTTTTTAGCAGTCAACCAGTTTTACGGTTTCTCATCGATTCAATTTAAAGCCTTTACGCTGAATTTTTTTTTGATTTTCACTTCAAAATAAGCTTGCATTTTTGGGAAATTCTTTTCCTTGTCGAGACAAATTTTTGTGCATCCAAGGTCAATCCTCGACTTTTCCTCTTATTCTCTCGTGAATTGCCCTCCTTGAATTCCTTCTTGACTTCATTCCACCACTTCCGAACAAGGACATTTAAAAAATTCTTTATGACATTTGCAAAATTGATTTCCCTTTATTGTTTTTGTGTCGAATATTCATTTCACTAAATTTTTCAATTGCTGAATGAGTAATCTCAAAATTTCAGTAATGGTTGCGACTCAAACAGTAACGATAGAGACGGTCTCTGTCGTCCGACCACTTAAGGTAAGAATAACCTAAAATTAATTGAAGCTTAATTGAAGCTTAAGTGAATTCTCAATTGTTTTCAGATAATTTCGTTGATTTGTCTTCTGATCGCAATCGTTCTCTCAGTTGTCTCGATCGCTACCACATCGTGGCTGAGGAGTGGGAGTTTTCGAACAGGTAAATACCGATTATCAATCTTTTTTTTTTTATTTAAACAAGAAAAAACATTTATCATCTACTTGATTTGTGAAATTTTAGGTCTTTTCCAAGAGTGTACTTCAACGAATGAACCCTCTGGATCGGCACCATTTGATGTAAGTCGAATTTAACATGTAAAAGGTAGAAAACGTAATCGTAAAGGTGTCAATTCTCTTATGAATGAATATTTCTTGATTTCAGGGTGCTCCAGCTCCAGGTCAGTGCCACTCACCAAATCGGGATTCAGGTGAATTTTGAAACAAAGAAAAATGCTTAATATAATAATATCAATAAAATCAAAATAGCTTCTTAAAAACTAGAATTGTAAAACTGTAAAATACTAAAAATTCAACGATATTAAATAAAAATTTCATTGGGTTTAATGTCACTTTCTTGTGACGCTTCTTAAAGAAAACTAGGTGAAAGAGTTTCTTTGTGACAAAAAGATTGATGGCTTTTTTTGGGGGATCCATTTCAATCCCGATTCACTCAAAAAGGCTCAAAAAGACTCAAAAACAACAAAAAAAGAAGTGTCAATTGTTACAACAACATTCTTTTTTCATCATTGTGAAAGTTTGAGAAAACGAAATATTGGAAAAATAGAGTCGAATTTCTAAATTCATCAAAAATAAATGAAAACTTGAATGAATTTAGCTTTCATCAAAGCCGTTGCCGGTTTAATGATCTCCGCTCTCATTCTCACATTCTTTGCAGCGGTTTGTTTGTTTTTTAACAAACTTTCAAATAAACTTAAAATGTTTACAAATTAGTTGAAAATCTTTTTCTCCAGATACTAAACGTTTGTGGGTTGGTAAAATCGGATGTCCGACGCAAATATATCTTCTACAAATTCGCCACATATCTTGCTATTTTCTGTGGTGAGTTAAGAATAAGAAAAAGGATAGAATTTCAATTTAGTTTTAATTGAATTGATTGCACTGATCGTTTTCCCGGCTTGCTTTTATGTGAAAATGAGAGATTATAAAAGTCGACGAGATTGGGAGGTGAGTTCAAGGATGAAAGCCGAAAATGGGTATAATATTCTATTCTTAGCTTTGAATTACTCTTATAATTAGTAAAAACCAATTGGGCTACCAAATGCCGCCATGGCCGACTGACCAAGAGCCCTGTATCTTAGTCAGGAGCTCAAGAGTTCAATTCCGCCGGTTAGATTATTGGCTAGATCACCGTAAAAGCTCTAATCGAAGCGCCTCCTATAGGAGTCTAAGTGTACACTCAAAAAACCGCACATATCTCGACGCCCAGACATTTGTTTCTGCGCGCTTGGGCATCAAATTAAAGTAGAGAGGATGGGTGATTTTTTGCTATATAACACAGATTTTTAGCATTAACCAGTGCTTAGAACAAAATGATTGAAAATCATGAAAAATAACAAAAAAGAGCCGATTTTTAATCATTTTTTTCTAAGCGCTGGTTAATGCTAAAATTATTTGTTATATCTCAAAAAATCGCCCATCCTCTCTATTTTAATTTGATACCCAAGCGCGCAGAAACAAACGTACTGGTGTCGATGAGCCTTTGTTTGAGAGTAAACTTAGACTACGCGTCGCTCCTATAGGGGATGCTTCGATTAGAGCTTTTACGGTATTTACAATCCCACCGTCCAATCGTTCAATAGTTCAATCCTGCCGGCTAGATTATTTACAATCGAAGTCAGTAAATAAATAATAATCTAGCTGGCAGGATTGAACTATTGAACGATTGGACGGCGGGATTGTAATTCAGCTCACCGTCAATTCTCAAGAATGTGAAGATCTTTTAATAAAGATCCTTAAGAAAAATAAGTATCTAGATTTTAAAGTGAACCGAAATTTCTCTCTGATCATTCGCATTCGATTCCAGGTTGATTGGTCGTATGGATTAGCTTGGGGTGCGACTCTTTTCACATTTGGTGCCTCGTTGATGTTGATTTGTGATAAAGAACATGAAGAAATCTATTATAAAGAGAAAACAATTTACAATCCACCACCAGAACTTTCATAAAATTTGTTCTTTATCTTCTTTTCTTCTCATTGCCATATATCAACTTTGGCTGCTAAATTCTATAAAAATTCTTCTATAAAATTGTGCATTTTCTTTATTTAATTGTTTTTGATTTATTTGTACATACATTTTTTTTTTATTTTAGCACATTAAAACTTTGTTTAAATTCAGAAATTTGAGATGTGAATGAGATGTGAAGTTGTTGACGAGCTCATTGATTGCATGTGAGCAAGCCAACAACTAAATTGTTGACGAACTCATTGATTGCATTTGAGCAAGCCAGCAACTAAATTGTTGACGAACTCATTGATTGCATTTGAGCAAGCCAGCAACCAAATTGTTGACGAACTCATTGATTGCATTTGAGCAAGCCAGCAACCAAATTGTTGACGAACTCATTGATTGCATTTGAGCAAGCCAGCAACCAAATTCAATTGAATATCAAAAATTTAAGCAGAAAAAAAGAACTTTCTTTTATAATATCTTTCTGAATTGATCCAGAGTTTCTTTATATTTTATCCTTAAATTTTCACAAAGCCTTTTTTCTTGCAATGACTGGTATGTCTTTGTCATCTTTCTTTTTCTTCTCATTAAAAGTGCACCTAGTTTCACATCAGATCTACAAAAAAGAAATCCCTCTACTTTAACATTTTTCTTTGATTAGATGATTAGAAATTTCTCTATTTAAATGAAATTTCGAAAATTTCCCATTTCAATCTCAAATTTTTCCCAAATCTTTTCCTTTTTGTGACCCCAGTGCTCGACTGTGTTATTTTGTGCAGAAAATTATTTTGATCATTGTAAGGAATTTGTTTTTTTTTTTCCACATCAAAGCTTTAATTTAAATAAAGGTTTATGAAATTATTTGAGAGGAACACACTCAAGATTCGTCTATTTGTCAGTTATTCGTCTTTTTATTCTCACAGACTGTAAGAAACGTATGGAAATAGAAACGATCTTGACTTTCAGTATTTTTGGGGTAGGCTAATTTCCGGAATTTTTTTTTGCGCAACTCGCCATAACTTTCTTCTAAGTCGACCAACCTTTATGATGTTGCTTTCATTTTCTTGCACTTATCTACAGATCTACAAAATGAAACCAAAACCATAAAGATTGGCCCACTTAGAAGAAAGTTATGGAGAGTTGCGCAAACGACCCAGTTGCGCAAAAAAATTGCGGAAATTAGCCTACCCCGTATTTTTAATTCAGTCAAATTGTTTTTCAAGCTATTTCGATTTCTTTATCTCTCAAAAAACGTAAAATTTATTGTATAGAAGTATTGTATCAGATTGGCTATTTTCTATTGCAAAAGAGATTTCTATTTGCACAAAAAGCCTATCATTTTCTCTTTTTTTTTCATTTCCTTTCTTTTCAAGGTCTGTCATACATTTACATATTTGAGAAAGGAAAAAAAAAGAAAAGAATAAAGAAAGCGTTAGAGATTTCATTCAAATTTGAGAGATTTTTGGAAAAGAAATGAACATCAATAGGTACTTGAAATGAAAATGAAATTCAAATGAACTCTCAAAAAAGATCGGAATTGTGTAAAACGGTATGTTATTGGCAGAATGATGTGTTATTACAAAGAAAAGCTGTATTTTCATTTTACAATGCTTTCCTGGCTTTTTTTTGTTCTTCTTGCTGAAATTTAAATCCCAAAGTACCCCTTGTGGTACAATGAATGTCTGAATCTACGGAGAATAGGCTGATTCTTTTACAACTTATCCTTCATTCAACCGGTCATCCCGATACACCCATAATTCTATTGAAAGGTATCGGAGAAAGAAAAAAGAAGAATGTTTCATCTTTGACAAATACTAAGATTTTCAAAGTAATTTTCAATTTTCAAAGATGATTGAACGCTTTTGAAATTTAGCTACCGTAAATACTGTAATAGTATCCCACCCCCTCGTACAGTCGCGTAGTCGCGTAGTCGCAAAAGTTTTTTAGTATTTCATTTTTTTCAAAGCGTCCGTACTTTCAAAAAATGCGTCTTTGGTATCAAAAAATAGCTGAAATTCAGGGCTATTTTTTGATACCTAAGCGCGCATTGTAGCATAAACCAGTGTCGAGAAAAACTCGTTCAAAGCTAGACTACGCAACACTCCGCACCGTCATTATGAGGGTGGGGTACTATTACAGTATTTACGGTAAGCGTTGTAGGCTTGTTTTCGATTTTTCTAAAGGTGTTGAACTATCATATGAAAACTATCTTAATATGCACTTAATATGTGACAAACTAATCAACCAATGGCCTGGAAATCCCTACAAAACTTACCGAAGCAACCGCATCAAAGACAGTGCTTTCCTTTCCTCAACCAGTCAAACTCATGTAGCTTAATCTCTGTTTGGTGGATAGACCTTTCCTTTCCTCTCCTTTTTCCTCTTCCTTTTCTCCCTTTTATTCAGAAAGCTAAACCCTTCCGAATAGTCGACAATCTCTCTCTCTCTCTTTCTATCTCTTTTCTCAGAAATCTTCAATAGAAAGAGATGCCAATGGCTCAAAATGGGCGGAAACCCATCCATTCCCTTTTCCTTACCGGTTTCCCCTCAATCGCTAACCCTCGCTTTTCCCCTTTTTGGACATTGTACTCATTTGTGAACTTCTTTTTGTTCTTTTAGAAAATAAGAAGCTAAAAGATTAATCAAAACTCTTTACCGCTTTTTTTCCGAATATTATAGTGAGGCTTTGTTTCAGTTTGCTTTCAAAAGTCAAAAGTCTATCGTTTACTATCAAAAAAACCCTTGTAAATGAAAAGATCTTTTTATTAAAATAAAAAGTCGATATTCTGTTTAGTCAATTTGCATATTTTACCGGTTTTTTGCTTTCCGTCTTTTGAATCAAAATCCTTCTTGAATGGAATAAAGAAAGCTTTCATCGAGTCTCTCTTCGTTGCCCCTTTCCTTGCAAATCTTCCATCACCAGCTGCAACTTTTACCACAGCTCAAGATTCAAAAAAGGGTTCTTTTTGAATGTCTTGAATTGTAGCAAATGTTTTAAAAGAATCTCGCAATTTCTGAAGGTCATTCGAGACTTTCTCGACAAATCATTCTTAAACTTTTTGACTTCATTGTTGCATTTGATGATTCACAATGCTCTTTGTACAAATTCTCTTGTGAATCCTATAGAAAATACTTTTAGCTTTTTTCAAATCAATCATCATCTTCTTGTCATTGTTAAATGTGTCTCCACATCTCGTTGTTGATTCTTTTATGGAGGATATTCCCATCAAATCAATATCAAATCAACAACCCGACAATTATCAATGATTACAATCCAATGTTGAAATCACAACCAAAATTGGTGAGTAAAGCAGTTAGAACGTGATCAGATTCCCTTTTGCAGGAGTGTTTATCTGATGGAATGCGTCTTCATCTCAATCCATCAATTCCTTTTGGTGGACACGTTTATGTAAAAGGATATTTCTCAACTCCAAAAAGGTTCTCATATTTACAAAATTTTGGGTATTTCTTAGTTTTAGTTGCCATTTAAATTACTGCAAATCCCCAGTGGCGTCTCCATTTTACATTCACATTCCATATTTGGGCGATTGTTTAGTAAATTCACAGAGATTAGTAAGTTGTGATTGTTGAAATTAAAAATGTGCCTGTATTCAAATTTTTAGAGTAACCCTCAAGGAATCAATCATCAAGTGACAATCGTTGTACAACATCATCACTTTTTTGTGACCGCAGGTGGGTGAGTGAGAAATTCGAGAGCTCGAAATCAAATGACAGTTCAAGAGTCCGAGTTTTAATTGTAATTGTATAGGGTTAATGCAAATGCTATGGCAGACATTTTTTAAATAGTCGGTTGTTTCTTATCATTGTTGCAAGCTCGAAGTGCCATAGCAGTTTTATATAAAAAGCCTTATACATCTTCTACAGATTCGTCTGAAACCCATAATGAAAAGCGGGATTCTACGCGAGAAAACCCGTATTTTGTTAAAAACCGACAAAACGTTATTCAGAGAAAACGACTGGACAGATTGATTTGAAAATTTAAGTGTAGACGTAATTAAACATTCTCTACGTTTTTTATTTGAACACCAAAGTAGGTTTGTTGGATGGAAATCTTTAAATGATCAACTCTCCATCAACCCCATTTTTGACTGCTTAAGTTCGATCATTTGAAAAAAGTGTGGAAACAAAAGCTTTCCCGTCTGGCCCAAAAGATGTTTGGTAGAGAAAAGATAGGGCTTTCTTATCTTTAAAGCTCCTAGGGTTTCCTATTAAATTGAATTGAAAAGCGCTTTTTAAAAGAATACTGACATTTCATGTGCATTGACCCTATAGTTGTAAGTTTTTGAAAAAAAAACGGCAAATGAGACGCTGTATGAAATATTTGAAGGTGATCGAGCGTATCGCTTAAATTGTTTCTACGAGGAGCGATCGATGACTCTAAAACAACAAGTCAATGTTAAGTAGGTGAAATTTTTTATTAAAAAAAATTTCTTACTTAAATACAAAGTATAAGCATACCGTATTTTCTCTAATAGTAGTGCACCCCGGCGAGCCGAGTTGATGACTATTTTACGGTTTTCGAAGTTTTCGCAGAAGCCCAACACTCTAATCCCCGACAAGATCTCATCGTCAGCTACATTTTCCGACCCCACATCGATAGGTTCTGATAAGCGGCTCTCGAGATTTCGAGGAATTTAGGCGACGCTCAGGGTGCACTAATATTAGAGAAAATACGGTATGCAAAGTTTGAAGAACTCAAACAAAATAACGATTTTTGCCATTCGTTCATACCCAAATTTTTACTTGAAACAGAGATTTTAAAGAATATTTCTTTTAGGTAATTCATTTTTTGATTTTCTTGACATTTAGTGAAATCCAGCCAACAAATTTGGATGGTCATCAGGGTTCTCTTTGTCATTATGATGTCTTAAATGGAAATGTTAATGGACCAAAAATTGAATTGGCGAGTATCGGAGATCCGATTGTGCATCGATGGACATGTGATAGTGGTTTGAACAAATGACTAGATCAAGAATAATATGGAATCGATGAGATTTTAGATGATACAGGTTTCCTCGTTCATTCATGTGTTGTCAAAGATCAAGCCGGCAAAGATTTCCCGCTCATCGATGATAGAGGGTTTATTTTTTGAAAGTTTCAGAGAGTTTCTTTTCAAAAAAGAACCCATTGGAGATGAAGTTAAACGTAATTTGAGCTCTAGTTGCCCAATTGATCGATCGCTTGTCCCTTCTTTACAATATTCATCCGATTTTCGAACTGTTCACACAACGATCAATGCTTTTCGTTTCGCTGATCAACTTATGGTTGAGTTTAAGAGAAGAAAATGAAAGATTTATTTGAAATGAATAGGTGCATTTCTCGTGTCAATTAACTTTATGCGAAAGAAATGATAATGGATGTGAGGGAATTGTGGTGAGCTTTTCTTTTTGAAAGTAAATGAGTAAATTGAGGCAATGTTTTAGCCACCAACTTGTAACCCAATACCATTAGACGCTCCTTTCAAAGCCACCTTCAGAAATGCGAATGAGAAATTTGAAGGTTTGCTTGTTTAGATTGTAAAAGATTGAAAAAAACAAATACTTTTATTTGTTATTGAGTATATGAGCATATGAAATGGCTTAATTTTTGCAGATTTCCCCAAACAATTACCAACTTTTAAAAAGTTCTTTTATGATTTATTGCTAGTGAAAAGTTACCGTAAATACTGTAATAGTACCCCACCCCCATAATGACGGTGCGGAGTGTTGCGTAGTCTAGCTTTGAACGAGTTTTTCTAGACACTGTTTTATGCTACAATGCGCGCTTAGGTATCAAAAAATAGCTGAAATTCAGGGCTATTTTTTGATACCAAAGACACATTTTTTGAAAGTACGGGCGCTTTGAAAAAAATGAAATACTAAAAAACTTAACTTTTGCGACTACGCGATTGTACGAGGGGGTGGAGTACTATTACAGTGTTTACGGTATATATTAATCAGCTTTTTGATTAAAGATTTCAGCTGTGGAAGAAATTGATTTCAAGCAATCATTTTTTTCATTTCATTTCAAGCAATCATCGTTTTCATAGACGTTTTCAATAAAAAGCTAATTCATTAGGAAATCCTAGGCTTTATCGTTTCAAATTATTTTTAAAACTCAAAAAACATATTGAATTGAAAGATCTGTCATCAAAAACGATAAAAATTCACTGAAATCTTTGAATAGAACCATGTTGATTAAAAAAAAATATTGAGCTAATTGAACTTATATAGGCTTTTTTATATATGTTAAAATATGATTTAATATCGAATTTCAAGTATAAGTCAAAAAATTTTGTAAATTTCAAAGAAACTTTAAAATTTGTCGAGTCTATACAAGGCTATCATCTGGAAGCTATTAAATACCGTATTCTGTGTTTCAATATTTTCGACTACAAATCGCGATTTCCTTTGCCAGCGCAGCTGTGCCTCACTGGTATTGCTTTTTCATGCTAGCATCCGTTTCAAAATACTCCCCATTAACAGATCGTTCTCAGCACTACGAGTATTACTTTCAAATGTCAAGAGAATAGTCAAACTAATCACTTTTGGCTTTTTTATATATGTAAAAAAATTATTTAATATCGAATTTCAAGTATAAGTCAAAAAATTTTGTAAATTTCAAAGAAACTTTAAAATTTGTCGACTCCAAATCGAAATCTTCTTTACCAATATTGTGCTGATAGCTTAAAATAATGAAAAAAATCAGTGTGGAAAAAAAATCAGTTTAAAAATTGACTTTTTAAAAAACAATGTTTCACTGTTTTTCCTTATACAATCGGGGTTTCGTTTGGGAATGGAGAAATTGCAGATAGTTCCCGTTCATCGAAAAGTCGAGTTTTAACGTTTTCTTCAATGCCAAAATCTAAGATCAATATGTAGTTGCGGGTCTCTTGCTAAGATCAATGTATAGCTTCTGGTCTCTGTAACTTTATTCAATTATAGCTTAAGATTATCACTTTTCATTCTAAAAAAACAGAAATTAGATAGCTGCTCTGGTGGAGAAATTTACATGAATTAACTATTTCATATGCATTTCATATTCACCCAATATTTACCCTTTAAAATAAACCTTACTTAGGAAGTGAGGCCGAATTCTCAGCGGATCCACGAAAAGCAAATGAGAGAGAAAATTTCATTCCACATCCAGCTGAAATCTATGTTGCGCCATCGATAAGCACTAGAGAACCACAGAAACAAATGGATGAAGAAAGAAGTGAAAAGAATGATGGGAATACGAGAGAAAGATTCGATGAAATAGCATGGACTGATCATCGGGGAAATCAAGATTTACAACGTCAAATAGCTGAACAAAATAAAGATTTAAAATCGACTCAGTCAGCTGTTCATTGGACCGAAAGAAAAGAAGAAAAAGAAGAGGATAAAGATAAAGAATATTTATCAAAACTGGAGCCGATTGGACCCGATCCTCAACCTCAAACCTATTCAACACCGAATAAAGGAGAAAGAAAAGAAGAATTTGAGGAATCAAATGATCGGTATTGTTTTGAGTTGATGTTTTCTAAAAAGGTTTCTCAGCAAAGAATAACTCTAATATTTTTAATAGAATAAAGTCATTTAAATTCATTGAAACGGTAAAGGTTTAAAAGACAGTTGCAGTACCTTTTAAAATATACGCTAATTTGTGACTTCATTAAAATCTTCGCATTCAGATCTAGATTCCCGACTCCATCAACTCTATCAACAACGAGATCCATTGAAACGACTTTAGTTCTTGATAATCGGGTAGTTTTTTCGTTTTCTGTGCAACTTCCAGCAACAGAAATCCAAATTCCAGGCAGTCACCTCTTTCCCTGACACTTACAGTGACTATTTCACAACACAACGGGTTGATCTTTGTTTTAAATATTATTATCATTAAAAAATCTCTAGATTCCGACCGGTTTTCGTTATTTTCTACCAAAAGAGATCGAAAATGAGCAAAATCAAAAGAAAACCTCGAAAAGCTTCGGTAAATATTTAATTTAGTGGAAATATTGAATTGTTTAGATTATCCAACGAGCACTTCTCGTCCATTCACTCTTCCATTGCGAATTGATTCGAATGAATTGAGAAGATTAATCAAAATGGAAAGAGAAAGAAATATTAAAGGTAGAGTCATTGAATATGTTTTTAATTTCAAAAAAACATAATTATCCAGTCTTGCCAACTAAAATGTAATCGAGATTCTAACTACCGTATTTTCTCTAATAGTAGTGCACCCTGAGCGTCGCCCTAAAATGTTCGAAATCTCGAGAACCGCTTATCAGAACCTATCGATGTGGCGTCGAAAAATGTAGCTGACGATGAGATCTTGTGGGGGATTTGAGTGTTGAGCTTCTGCGAAAACTTAGAAACCGTAAAATAGTCATCAACTCGGCTCGCCGGGGTACACTACTATTAGAGAAAATACGATATTTGAATTTCTTTACGGGAGAAATTTTGAAATCATTTTTTACAATTCTTTCTGAATAAGGAAAGTGCTTTGGGCTTGAGAATCAACTAAACTAAACCAAAAGAAGTTTAATGATCAACGCTTTACTCTATTTCATTCATTAAATTCTCTTGGGTATGTTTTTAATTTCAAAAAAAACATAAGTATCCAGTCTTGCCAACTAAAATGTAATCGAGATTCTAACTATTAGAAATTCAACGTCCTCATTTCCGTATGGAGCCCATGAATCAACGAGAATTCTATCAAACGATCGGCTCAACAAATCTCGACAATGTACATGGTAAATGCAAAGGGAAATTACAAAATTCATTTACAAATTTAGGTGGATTGGATTACAATAGTCATGAAGAACATCAGCAACGAGTATCTCATGATTTTCCGGTACTTTCCGGTACTTGCTTAAATTGTTTAGAATTGTTTAGACATATCAATATCGAATCTCTCGAATGATTCATGGAGAATCGGAGAAAGGAAAAAAGTTGAGTTTAGATTAGAAAAAAAAATACAAAAATGGTATTACAGTAAATGATTTGATCAATGAATATGAAAATCTTGGAGAAAATGACTCTTTTGTTACGACAACGATAAAAGCCAGGTTGGATTGACAAGAAAATGTTAAAGAAAGGCGAAATTTTAGAGGAATCATCAACGAATCGCTGAGTAAAGGTTAATTGAGATTTATTTCTGAAAACAGTTTACTTTAGAAGCACATCGACTTCCGAGAAATCTGGAAGAGATGCGAAAAAATATTATTGTTGATGTGAGCTCTGGACAGGTGAAAAAATCCTTATTTTGTGCCTTGACTTGGCTGCCTACCGTCCTGCCTTTCTATGCCCGCCAGAAGCCGGACTTGAACCTAGCATTTTGGCTGTCTTGTTTGGTCTAGCTTGGCCCTAGAATGTGTTTGAAAATTCCTTCCATAAAAGCTATCGGACTTCTGTTGTCTGTTTAAATTGAACCTAGACTTGCTTCATAGCCTAGCTACCCTAAACAAGATAGTCACGGTAACCAAATTCAAACCGAGCCCTTAATTCTACTTTCCATTCACTTTTGCATCGATCTTTTGTTGAAATGAACGATGAATTTAGATGATCATTCTCTCGTCAGAAGAGGGATTTCCAAGAGGAAAATTGCGTCGAGCGATCCCTCAAACGTCTCAAAAATCATTGAAAATGAATGAAATGCCCGGCGAATCTCATTCATCTTCATGCTCTCATTTAATTTTACCTCAATTTCTTGTCACTCTTTTATTCACTCTTCTTCAACTTGCAACACTTTCAATCATTTACATTCAACGGAGAAAATATCGAGCATTACAAGCGAAATGTTTGCAAATTTACTAATAAAAACTGATTTTAAAGTCCACCGTTTCACCAGTTTTAAAGTTTTAAAGTTTTAAAGTTTAAAGTTTGTTACACAATAAAACACAACAAAATTTTATTGTTTCAGAAATGATGGTGTCCTTTCTTTCGATTTCATATTTTTTGCGACGTTCTTTTCGTGAATTGTAACCTTTTTTTGCTTGTTTTGAAGTGCTTTAAAATCCAAAGCGTTTTGATATCTCTGGCTATTGCAAATTTATAGACTGGCTGTGACTGAGATGGGACAATATTGCGAACAGGCTTCGTTCAGAAAACCAATTTTCATGTAAAAACACGAAAATGAGGGGCGTTTTTGAATGAAAAGGAGAGAAAAGTCGGCTGTTTGGTGAAGGGAAAAAGTGAGGCAAGGCGGGCAAAGGGCGGGACCACCCATCAAGATTGGATTGAAGAGAGAAGAGAGAATGACTAGAGAGTGGCCGGTTTGAAGAGACACCAGATCATAAACGAAACCATAGGTTGAAATTCCCATTATTCGATATGAACTCTTTAAAATGAGCCCCTTCTGACAACGGCTCTTTCTTCGATAACTCTTGTAGCAATGTGATGAAACATAAAACCTCTTCATATTTTACAGAACGGCATCTTGGACCAAGTCGGCTTGTACTCTTGCAGAGCCTAAAAAGGAGCTGCTATTGAATTTGGATCCCGTTTTTTATAGTGGCTACTTGTTGGAAAAGCTATCTGGCAAATGTCTAACTTATTTTAGAAAAACATGGTTTTCAACAAATTTATAGGGCCAAAACAGCATAACCAGATACGCATATGAATATCGAAAATCGAATATCAAAAATACTCAATTTTCACCTTGTTTCCTGCTCCTTCAAAAGGAGCTTGACATCAACTTAAATTTTCGTTATGTCAGTTCAGCCAAAACAGTTACCGTATTTTCTGTAATAGTAGTGCAGTCTATAATAGTAGTGCAGTCTGTATAATAGTAGTGCAGGCAGGACGGGGGTTGAAAAAATAGTAGTGCACCCTGCTAAAATTTGCTCTGTTGTTGTTCACTTTGACTTCCTTTGTTTTAAAAGCATACTGGTAGCTAAATGAGATGCTATTTTGAGATTGTGACTATTTATTTAGTACTGACTAACATATTGTGCTCGTAATTAACTTTTTGACATATTGCTACTACTTCTTTTGGTACTTATGGGTTTTACCCACCGCACATTTAAGTGAGAAAAAGTGAGGCAAGGCGGGCAAAGGGCGGGACCACCCATCAAGATTGGATTGAAGAGAGAAGAGAGAATGACTAGAGAGTGGCCGGTTTGAAGAGACAGCAGATCATAAACGAAACCATAGGTCGAAATTCCCATTATTTGATATGAACTCTTTAAAATGAACCCCTTCTGACGGCGGCTCTTTTTTCGATAACTCTTATAGCAATGTGATGAAACTCAGAAAACCTCTTTATATTTTACAGAACAGCATCTTGAACCACGTATAGAAAAAAAAGGCGAGCTTGGATTTGGAAGAAAAAGCACCTAACATCGAAATGTTTAAGTTTTTAGATAAATATTAATCAGCACTAAGTTTTCTTTGATAAATAAGTTGTTTTGCGTTTTGTTGTACGTAAACGAACCGCTTCGGCGATCTGCTTAAATCGCTCACAACACTCGGTTTTGCTTCTTGTTTCCCATTTCTTTCACAATCCCAACTAAAAATTGCTTTTCAATAACAAGTCGTTGAGTCAGTGAAAGATGCAATGTTTTACAAAGTTGATCTTAGACGGAAAAATATTTTCTTCAAGTAAAGCGTCGATTCCTTTGTAATAAATTTGATGAAGGCTTGCTTAAAAGCCTTTTGCTCATCTTCTCTCCAATCTAGCATCACCGAATTTGGATTCTGAAAACATTTTTAATGCAAAAAGCATTGAAGAAATAAATTGTAACTTGTAAAAAGTTTTGAATCTATAAGACATTCAAGAAAACTTGAAAACCTGTGGTATCGTGACTTTAGAAGGATCGGTAACGGCGGAGCTCGTTTGTTTTTGTTTCCCACTCAAGAATTTGTTGTACTCTTCCTGAAAAAAAAGGGATCTTATTGAATTCGACCATTCAACTCACAATTTATAAATAAACTGACTATTTTCATATTTCCCAGCTTGCCAGCCGTTGCTGTAACATCATCGGATGATCTGTAAATTGCCACCGTCATCAAATCCTATCTGAATTTTTGTTTAATCAATTACAAACAATAATAAGGGCGCTATAAACAGGGTTGTAAGCGAAAAAAAGCGGGGGTGGGGCAAATGCTACCTTTTTTGCGCACCTGGACATTTGCGCACCTTTTTTTTTGCTGGAAAAGGCCTTAGGAAAGGTCGTAGAGCTTCAAAAATGTTTTCATAGACGGGAATCGTATGCGTAGATTCCGAATTTCGACAAATCAGACCTCGCTGACACGTCAAATTTGGGCTAAAAGGCAAAAACTACGCAACTTAACGCTTTTCCGCAGTTTTTGCCTTTTAGCCCAAATTTGACGTGTCAGCGAGGTCTGATTTGTCAAAATTCTGAATCTACGCATACGATTCCCTTGTATGAAAACATTTTTGAAGCTCTACGACCTTTCCTAAGGCCTCTTCCAGCAAAAAAAGGTGCGCAAATGTCCAGGTGCGCAAAAAAGGTAGCATTTGTCCCACCCTCAAGATGTCGGGCTAACTAGAACTAAAGTGTGTTCCTCGCGAGTAATGCCTTTTTTAAAAAGCATGCTTAAGAAAAATTAGCGAAAATTATTGCAAAAAAATTGGCGCGAAAATCACGAGCGCGGCCTTATATACGACTCCTTTTAAAGATATTCAACCGTTCAACTGATTTGGTGGCAAATTCCCTTCAAATATAAAGATATTCAATTTACTCGACGTGTAAAGAGGATTACTCGTAGTTACTCGACCAAAAAGGCCAATTAATCGAGTAAAGACTCATGCAAATTTTACTCGAGTAATTACTTACTCCCGAGGAACACACTCTAACTAGAACCCTTTAACACTTTTTAAGTTACTTGAAAAAATTTGCTGAAAGCCTCAAAAGTATTTTCCTGCACTGAACACGCCAAGACTTTTGCTTATGACTGTATTTGACTGACCGCTCCTTTCCCTTTTGGAATCCCTTTTGGAATTTACTTTTTTCAAAAACTGTTTCCTTACGTATTTCCTTACGCGTCAAAAGGCCAGCTTGACTCGCTGTCTTTCCTTTGTTAATTAGAAATAAGGATTTAATAGCCAATAGAAGCATTGATCAAATCAGTGGAGATCTTGATCTCAGTTTTCGTCTGACCGTGTGTAACCCTCTTCTCTAGAAATCAAGTTTTATTATTCCTCCAGAAAACCTCCAGAAATTCTTACAACTATGCGAATATTCTCTGCATGTCTATTGGTGTTTTCGAATCTCTCGCCGTCGGATCGATCCACCGTAGCGATGGCAGAAGAGCTGGGGCGAGACCGAGACAGGCACGGATAGAGCGCCCGGAGGACATCAGAGAATGCAAATGATGAAAAAACGGAAAGCTGAGAGTGGATGAACAACCCCTTATTTCCTTTATTCAGCTGCTTTTTAAAAGTCTAACTCTCTCTTTCAATTCCAGCTTACTAGTAGTATCAGTAGTGGTAATTGATCGGGAAAATTGTTCTCTCTAGAAAATTGATCAGATCACGGCATATAACCGAGCGATGAAAGAAAATGTAGAAAAATCGAGATCTCTGACGCCTCTCGCCTTTCCCCAATACCTCAGAGTCGATCGATTGCGCGGAACAGGGGCCACACACGACACAGTTCGAGAGATGTGGCATTTCGAGAGAGGTTAGAGGGAAGAGGCAGACCATTGACTCTCTTCATTCATTCTACTCTCTAGCATTTCTCTAGCTTTTAGCACTTCTGGGGGGCGCGATCGATTGTCTTTTTGCTCTCTTTTCCACGTTTTTTTATTGAATTTTTCTTTCACTGATTACACCCGACCTCTTTCTCTTTGCATTTGCATTTCCTCCTCATTTGCAAAAAAATCCATTTTCGACGCTTTATTGTTCCTATCACCATGGTAAACGAAAACGAAACTTGTGATTTCAGAAACTTTTTCAGTTTTTTGCTCACTTTTTCAGAGATGAGCTTTTCAAAATTTGACTAACTTATGCTTTTTCCAGATGAATGATATGAGTGCTTCAACAGAGGAATCGGAACGAGATCGAGAGAGCTCTCCAGAGAGTGATCGAGAGAGCTCTCCAGAGAGTGATCGAGAGAGCTCTCCAGAGAGTGATCGAGTGAGCTCTCCAGAGAGTGATCGAGAGAGTGATCGAGAGAGCTCTCCAGAGGCGGTAGACATCGAGTTGATGGAGTATCTTCAATGCGAATGGGGAGCGTGTCAAAGAGGGTTCGAAACAGAAGAGGTTTAGTGTGTATAGAGTTGTACACAAAAACAGTCCATGAAAATTCAGATGCTAATAGCGCATGTTAAAACAGTTCATGTCGGCCCGTTGGTTGAATCTAAACTGGATAGTTACAATTGTGAGTGGAGGAATTGTCTTGGGTAAGTGCTCAAGAATTAGGTTGGCGAATAAGTCTTTTCGTTCTTTTTCATAATTCCGTTGAAGAATAACAAATCCACCAATTAACCTATGGTTTACTCCAAATTAAAAGTGTTTATTGTTCAATTTTCCATGTTTTTAAGTCAATCTGGCTACCCGACTTGACGCTCCCAATAAAAAATCCAGAAATACGTCATTTAAAACCCCTTTTAATGTTTATTTTGCAGAAAAATATTCAGCCTTTCTAATGAAAAAACCGTAGTTCAATTCAATTTTGAAAAGGAAGTAGGAACGAAAAAATTTATTGATCAACCTAATAACTCTAAAAGTTTCAAGTGAACTTTAGAAGGCGGTCCTTCCGAGATGCCTACTTGTTGAAGTCTCACGTGCATCAGCATACCGGAGAGAAACCACACAAATGCCCAAAACCTGGATGTCCAAAGGCATTCCGTCGCGCCGAGGGGCTCAAATCGCACTTAAACTTTCACGCCGGCAAAAAGCCATATAAGTGTAAAGAATGTGATCAGGTAGACGATACAAGCCAATACAAGCCAATTCATTTTCTTGATCTGGAAACTCGATTTTTTTCAGTGGTTCAGGAGTAGTAATGATCGAGCTAAACACGTGAAGCGAAAACACAGAAAGGCGGTGAGCTAATAAAAAAGAATTTAACAAAATGCCACAATTTAGAGGCCCGTGTGCGGATATCAAGGATGCAAGAAGACTTTTGCCGATACGTCAGCTGTTCGGAAACACGTAAAAGACAAGCATGGTGCTAAGGCGTGGGAAACGCGGAAATTAAAGAAAGAGTTAAAGGAGACTGGTGGACGATGGCAGAAAAAGGTTTAGATAAAAAATATACACGCATTAATTTTAACGATATATTAAGAACGAGAACAAGAAGAAGGATTGTGGCTCAAAAGATCGAGAAAGCAGCCACGGCCCTGACTCTGGAGGACATTTACCGGTAGTTGTTAACAAACGTTGGTTTATTCTTATACTATTGTAGGAAAATCCGGGCCGGGTGGAGACGGTTGGAATGTACGATCCAAACTATGAGCCTAATCGAGAAGGGGAGACGAATGTGGCAAATGGAAATGAGAGGCCGATCAACGGGCCCGGGTTCACCGGATATCTCACTGCTGATCTCGTAAACGAAGAAAGTTTGTTGCAAAATGATTTCGAATATCGAACTCTTGATTTCAGCCGTAGAATTAGGCGCGGACTCTTCGATGGGACTCTCAGAAGACAATCATATCTACAGAAATGCAAACTTTGTGCCGGTTGGTCAAAAAGAACATCCATTAACACATTGACCACAATATCATTTTTGGCTTGGCTGCCGCTAAACGGCTACCCAAGGCTGGCTGTGGGCCTGAATATTTGTAACCGAAGGCATTCTGGGATGGAGAAACTGAATCCGTCATTAGTTTTTGAGCAACTTTAATTTGTGTGTTAACAAAACAAATTTAGTTTCATGAACAAACTGGCCACATACCAGTTGCCACCTATGAGGCATATGAGACATCCATTTTGAGATGCGACGACCGAATGAGGCAACCGCGATTCGAATACCATTCGGAGGTTTTTCGGTAAAAGATCAATTCTACGATCACAACTTTCAGCCGTTAACTCCAACTCTATCATCGCAACCCATTATGTCTGTCGCTCCGTCGAGAATAATATCGATTGCCCTGCCAAGAAGCCAAATACCGGCACACTCGAGCTCACAAGAAGTTTATTTTCAAGTAAACCTGTTGCCGTTTCATCAAGGACCCATTATGGGGAGCGATTCTGAGCCACGACGAACGTTTTATGCGCCTTGCCAGTGAGTTGAAAGTAATCAAAAGTGTAAAAAGCAAAATAAAATGTAAAGAAACTCAAATTTTAGTGGCCTGCCAAGAAGCCAATTACCGGCACACTGGAGCTCACAAGAAGTTCATCCTCAAGTAAACCTGTTGCTGTTTCATCAATGATAAGGTTCCATCAACTACCCCGGTAGCCTCTTCGTCATCTGAATGCCGATTTGAGACATCCAGCGCCATCATTTTCCCAATTACCTACCGGTTTTCTATCGACGAGTCGAATGGGTGTGGGTGGGCAAAGCTCATCAGCGGATCCTCTCCACAAACACCCAACAATCTCCCTCGTTCCTTTTCTCCTCGTCCCTCTTTTTACATTGCTATTTTTCTAATCTTGATTTCGTTTATCCAGCGTGAGCACCAACAACCTTCTATTTTTTATCGATTTTAGCTTACCCTTTAACACTTTGAAAGTCTTCACCTTAACTGTTGATCATAAAAACTTATTCTCGGAACATTTGAATTCAATATGTGAATAAACAAGTAGAAAACGAGTTTACAATTTACATACACCATGAGGGAGAATTTTTAAAAATTGCATTGATTCTGCAAATTTTATTGTTTCAAAAATGGTGGTGTCCTTTCTTTCGATTTCATATTTTTTGCGACGTTCTTTTCGTGAATTGTAACCTTTTTTTGCTTGCTTTGAAGTGCTTTAAAATCCAAACCGCTTTGATATCTCTGGCTACTGCAAATTTATAGACTGGCTGTGACTGAGATGGGACAATATTGCGAACAGGCTTCGTTCAGAAAACAAATTTACACGTAAACTATCATCGAATTCAGGCAAACGGTGCTCCGCCAAGCGAATGTGGAAGTGAGGGAAGTTCGACGGGAATCACTGGCGCATTCATGAATCGATCGGATAATCCACCATCAAGATTTAGGTTGGAAAAGAGTTATTTTCATTGATGAGCTTTTGCATGAGACACTTTATTTTAATTGTTTTAAGGAACTAATAGCTTTTGACGCATTATAGTGAGATTATGGGACTTTTGATACGCCGTCCCCTTTGCGATTGGTAATCCAACTTTGAGCTCAAATATCTTGATGTCGATCTGTTTACTTTAAATAATTTTAATATCATTAGATGCGTAAAGTCTTTCTCTGTCGATTGGTATAAAAACTATTTAAATTGAACAGCCCAACACGAAGATATTTGAGCTCAAAGTTGGATTGCCAATGGGAAATGTCCGATAACCAATAGTAAGCCTAAAGTAAAAACTAAAACTCTTTAGTCTTTTCATCTTCAAAGATACTTTTATTTTTTTTGCATAATACGCATGAAATGTAAACTTACAGTATTCTAAAATATCGAATTCGATCAATTTTTCTCAGTCTAACTTAAGCAAAGCATGCTTTCCCCTATGATTTCCCTGTCACTAACAAATTTTCATTCAAAACACTCTATTTGCTTTTATTTTCAGCATGATTCCCATTTTCTGTTGCTTTTCTCATTCTTTTCTTTTCAAATTTTTAACCAAAAATCTTGTGTGTAGAGGAAGCGATAAACGGGAATCGTTCACGACTTGCATCATCGTCGCTCCGTCAACAACATCAGCGCCGCCAACACCGAATTTCATGAACACTCAACCGTCAACATCCACTCAACAGCAAAAGATTCCGGCTAGAAAACAGATGTAAGAATATTTTACATATCTAGAACAAAAAATAGATTTATTTACTTCTCCATTCATTTGATTTGTTAAAAAAGAATTTCTCCATATCTAATTATGCTCATACTTTGTGCTCTGACTCTAATCACTTTGTAGAATCAAGTGTACCAGTGAGCAATCGCTTGCGAGAGCACAAAGTACGGGTTTCATTTTTCACATTTTTCTATATTTGTGGGCTTCTTTTGGGTAAAACATTCTTCACAATTTTCTTCTCATTTCTTTGTTTTTCTTGTGTTTCTCACTGGATCTTCTTTCTTATTTTTTGGGGAAAGCAAGCGTTCAGAGCTATAAGTACAATGTTTTTAATCTATAAATAATCAATGATTATTCAATCAATCAACTAAGAAAGATTTTCAGCTCTGTGGGCGCTGAGGGAAGTCATTATGCGTGTGGTGACATTGTACTCAATGTTTCAGAGGTGAGAAACATTTAGATCATTATTCCCTTGCTATAATTTTGAAGAAAAAAAAAGTCAAGCTTCTGATCGGAAAATGTAAAAAAAATAACTCTAGGGTCAATTCTTTGTGCCCGAGAACGGAATCATTCAGAATGGAGATCGGAGTCCGGCTGGGAAAAGCAATCACTCAGTGTAAGTGAACGAAGCGATCGTTATCGATTTTTCAAATCTCTTTTTTTTCAGTTTCGATTACGGTAGCAGCTCAGGCTACAGCACTTCGGAGTGTTCAAGAGAATCGGATGTGATCAGTCAAAACTCGACTCATTCCTCGTCAATTCATCCAATCCATCCAATCCATCCAACTCATCCAATTCCCCCGTCCACTCGATCTCCAACACAAAGATCCTCAAAAAGATCGGAAATTCTTTCCACGGATAAAGGTTTTAGCTATGTCTAGACAAAAGAAGAAAGGCAATTCTCTTCCATTCTCTTCTTATATATTTTCTATGTAATCATTTCATTTCTATGTTTATTTTTCTCTCCGGTGTACCCTATAAAAGCATTTAGTCAAACGTTGAACCGCTTATTGATATGTTTCCTCATTTTCCCCCAAAAAATCATTCTTAATTCCTCTATCATTTGGGCCAAATCATAAATGTATTCCATCATTTCCTTTGCCGTTTCCTTTTTTTTTCTTTATCGTGTACATCCCAGTTACGGGCGTTTTCTCGATCATTTTCCCCATCTTATCCATTTCTACCGTAATATCTGCTAAACGTTTGCTAAAAGGTGCCCTTAAAAAGACACAGGTATTACGGTATGTTCTCTTGAAATTTCTCATTTCTTTTTTTGACAATTTCCTTGCCAATTCTCTCACCAAACAATTTCCATCGCTATCAGATATTTTAATTCCTTTTATTCATTTTATTCATTCTATTTTTGTGCCATTTGAAGTAGTCTTTTTTTTTCTGTGTGATTCTTGTACATATTCACTATTTTAAAAAGAAAAATTCTTAAAGGGGCATAGAAAAAAGAAAAAAAAACTTTATATACTGACGTCATCACATAAAAATTAACATTTTCAATTGACTTTTCCAAACAAGCCTATTTGCGAGGTATTTAAAGGCTCCGTGGAAATAAAAATCGCTCAAAAACTCGTGTTTTTCTCAAAAATTGTCAAACTTTCGATATTTTCTAATATCATATTCGTGATTAGGAGATAAAAATACGTATATTAAGTGTCATACGTACTTCATTTGAGTAAGTCATTTTATGCTGTGCCCCTTTAAACTTTTTGTTTTATCATTTCTGGAAACGATTGTTATTTTTTTTTATTTAAATTAATGTCGCGTAATAAACGTGAGGAAATCTCAAAAAATACCGATTCTCAGAAAGTTTATTATAGATTTAGTTGCATTTTCAAATATCATACAGACTTTTATTTTCTTTAAGACTCTAAGAAAAGCCTGGAGTTTTCTGAACTGGACAATAGTCTCAAAGCTTAAAATTGTTATGCCTAAAAATAAGTTACTTTACACTTGATACAACCAGATCATGCGAGATCCAGACAGGTACGATCTCGATGGCCCTGACCCTTGAAAGTTAAGGCAAACAAGTATTACTTTTTTACAAATTTTGTTCAAAACTTTAAACTGTAAAGTGATGCTTGTTCTCAGCTTTATTCAAAAAAATATAGTCTAAGAGTTGAAAGTTGAAAAAACTTTTGAAAATCAGTTTAATTTTCAGTGATTTTCAGTGAAGCCAAAGCTTTTGACGGCAGCCATGTCACGGTCAAATTTCAAGAAGAAGATGCCGATGAAAAAGAGGTCGATTTTTTGCAAGAATTCCCACACACCAACTTTGCCTTTGAGGTTGGTGAAACTAAAGTGTGTTCTTCAAGAGTAATGCCTTTTTTTTAAGCTCGGTATTAACGGTTTAATTACCCAAGTTTGAGGTTTCGAAATGGCAAAACGCACGAAGAAGGTCATCCCCTCGCTGCTTAACTTGACAGATCTGACGGGACATCCTACGCATCCTCTCCCACCACCCACGTTTGCCCTCCCCACTCACACAAGTGACTACGTTTTCGCGAAGACGCTCGGACCTGATTAGCATCTTGTTGTTGAGGACCTGCCTGAGGTTGCTCCTTCCCCTTTTTTTCCCTGCTTTGGCTCGAAGAAGTTATGATCGTTTTTTGTTGGATCAAGTTTTTGGCGCCTATGGAGTTGATGGCCACCTTCTGCATGCGTACAGGATGGGCGTCTATTCTCCATCCAGACCGCGACCCATGAAACTGATAGTCGCTTCGTCTCACACTGCGTCTGGCCTCGTTGCATCGTTCAAAAAGTTCGGCACCTGCCTTCTTCCATGGGCATGCCGCTTCATCGCGATTCGCCGTTCGGATCCGCAGAGAGCACCTCCTCGAGCCACGCAGTTCCCGTCACATGTGAATCACAACAAGATCCGTCTGAATTCGATAATTACTCAATCTACTGCTCAATCTCGTGTTGAGAATGTCGACATCTCTACTGGTACCACCCACACAAGTGACAATCAACAACAAGTCATGGTGAAGCCAATAATGATGGACTCCTGCGTTAATACCGAGCTTTCTTTTGATGGCTCCCCGGAGGACACACTCAATACGATTCGCGTTGAAACGGCAAAGAAGAAAACCCCCGGACGACCACCCAAGAAGCATGGGCAACAGAAGATTCATCACGAGCAATCCTATCGTAGTCGGAAAATCATGTCGAGGGACGGCAACATTGGAGCCATCGTGATCAAGCAGACATATAACTCAGACACGCCTGGCGGAAGCCCTTCATCAAAGTTTGCGAAGGTCGCCGTCCCAGCGGCTTCCCACCCTCATTCGCCACCCCCAACATCACCAGGATAAATGACCCTACTGCATTGTTTTCTTTTATTTTTGCCAATGTTCACTCAATTGTTTCCAGAAAACGCCTTTCTTATGTGCAATTTTTGACCCGCTCAAAACATTTTGATTTCTTAGCGTTTTGTGAAACCTGGCTTAACGATTCTTGCCCCTCTTCCCTTTTTGATCCTTCATCTAATTACTCAATTTTTCGTTGTGACCGTAATAGCAATACTAGAGTTCGTGGCGGCGGCGTTATTCTTTTTATCTCGCGCAAAATAATTTCAAATCTTGTTTTGAGTACGAGTCTTTCTGGATGTGACATTCTGATTGTTGATTTTAATTTAGGTAATACTGCTTTCCGTTTATTTGTTGTGTATCGTGCCCCAGATGTTAACCCTTTAGATACCATCAGCTTTTTTAACCTGTTAGATCAATATTTTGACCCTTGTAAATCTAATTGCTTTGCTGGGGATTTTAATTTTACCATCTTATCTTCTCAAAAACAAAATTGCCCCCCTAAATCTCTCTCGATTTCCTCATTTGTCTAGATTTCTCATGTCAAATAGCCTTAAAATTTTAAATAACTTCCCTACTTTTCGGAGAAGTGATCATGTTCTTGATTTAATCCTATCCGATTCGCCTCATCTTCTTTCTGAAATTTCCCCTCTGCCACCTATTGGAGGCTCCGATCACTTTGCTTTGACCTTCCGTTTTGTTGTAAATCCTATCGTTTCTCCCATAGGCGCCAATCCTATTCGTGCTTATTGGAGAGGTGATTTCAATGCTATATCGTTTTCTTTAGTAAATTTCAATCTCCTCTTCAGGCCTCGATTCGACACGGATATCAACGTGTGCTACGCCCTCCTCACTGATACGATGCACAAATTGCTGATTGAACACATTCCGCTCTCGACCAAAGGTAGCTTTTTTCCTCCGCCTCATATTACTCGAGCAAAGGTTAGGTTAGAGAAAGCTTGGCATCTTAGGCATACTCCCTTTTATGCGCGTTTAGAATATACTTTGCGTAAGCAGGTGATGAAATTTGAGGCAAATATTGAACGCAAATGCGTTTTTAGCAATAATCCAAAATCTTTTTACTCTTATATAAATTCTAAAATTAGTTCAAATCACGATTCTTCCATTAAATGTATAATTAATCCTTCTTCCAATTCTCTTATAGACAACCCTTTAGACATAGCAAACTCTTTTGCAACTTATTTCGCCAGCGTTTTTTCAATTGATAACCTTAGCGCTATTCCTCTACTCCCAAATCGCCATTCAAACTGTCCCGCACTTATTTTCACTCCTACTCTTGTTGAAAAAGCTATAACCAAACTTTCAAATAAAATTTCCTACACCCCCGATGATATTCCCTCTTTTATCATTCGCCAAACCAAATATCATATTTCCCCCATCCTTGCAAAAATTTTTAATGTTTCTCTTTTAAATTGTTCTGTCCCCACTGACTGGAAAACCGCCGTAATTTGCCCTCTTTTCAAAAAAGGCGATCGTAAGCAACTTGCGAATTATCGCCCGATCGCTTTGACCTCATCTATATGCAAAATAATGGAAGCTATCATTAAGGATCACATTACCACTCATTTGCTAGAGAACAAAATTCTTAACCAAAATCAGTTTGGTTTTCTTAAGTCTAGGTCTACCTCTGATCAATTAATTTTGTCAATTCACGACTGGTTGTGGGCCAAAGCGCGCAAATCTCAAACCTGCTGTATTTTTATTGATTTTGCCAAGGCTTTTGATTCTGTAAATCATCGATTCCTTCTAGCCAAGCTTACTTCCTTAGGTATTTCTCCGCTTATAGTTAAATGGATCGAAAATTGGCTTTCCCGTCGTACTTTCCGTGTTCGTATCGGTGATACACTCTCAAACGAGTTTACCATCTCTAGTGGTGTTCCGCAAGGGAGTGTTTTAGGTCCTCTACTTTTCCTTATTTATATCAACGATATTCATAGTTCTTTAACTCCCGGTACCATGGTGCGTCTCTATGCAGATGATTTAAAACTTTATCGCAAAATCCCCCGATCAAACACCCAATATGGTCTTTATTATCTTCAGAGAAATTTAGACTCGATCCTAAAATGGAGCATAACCTGGCAGCTGAAAATTGCCGTCGAAAAATGTAGACAAGTAACATTTGGTCCTTCCCATTTTACTCTTAAGTTAGGGAATATCACTTTATCTGAAGCCACTTCTGACGACCCAATCAAAGATCTTGGTGTTTTACTTGTTCCCTCTCTTAAATTCAACACTCATATTGAACAGATGGCAAAAAAAGCTTTTCGCATCTCAAACCTTATACTTCGCGCTGTTTGTTTTCCCTCAATTGCTAATTATCGTAAAGCGTTCATTACCTACTGCCGCCCTTTGCTCGAGTACGCCACTTTTGTTTGGTCTCCCTGCCTCCAAAAGTTAATTTCTTTGGTTGAGAACGTTCAGCGTCGTTTCAGTAGGAGGGCGTATGCCCGTTGTTTCCCATCGAAAGAAATTCCTTGCTATTCTGATCGACTTGCTGTTTTTGACCTTAAACCCTTATCCCATCGCCGCATTTATTTTGATTTGGTCTTATGCTATAAAATCATCTTCTCTCCTAACTCTCATCCGGAACTTAAAGGACTCTTTAAGATTTCGAATCACGCCAGAAGAACTCGTAGTCACAACTTTCAGATTACCCCCTTTCAAAGCTTTCATAACCGCCAACTGTATCATTCTTTTGCTTGTCGTGTTC